GCCCTGATGGCGAGGATCCACACGACTCTGAACAAGGAGGGTACAAGATCTCAGACGCAGAACATTACCCCCGCGAAACCGACACGGACGAGGATGTGGACCTCGACGTCGAGTACCACGACAGCCCGACTGGCGGGTCCGAGTACGATTACGAACTAGATATGTTTCGCATCGATCCTTGTAGGGAGCGAATCGAGCCCCTGCTTGCGGCGTTTGCAAAGTCTCTGACACGCGACAATATGCCGAGCCTCGAGGACGCTGAGATTTTCACGCACCTGTGGTGGCATCCTTCAGATGACAGAGAAGTGGAGAAAAGTCGACTGCCAATGAAGAACGGCCACAGATGGGGTGTCAAGTTTATTGCTGGGCGTGGTGATAACAAGCAGAAGGACGGCGATGCTGTCGCTGGGGCACCCACTCCAGTGGTGCAGTGGCAGGTTGGCGACTGGAGACCCAGCGAGGAAGTCATGAGTTTATTCGAAAACCTAGGACGACAGGAGTGGCTCGATTTGGAGTGGAATAGGTATAGACATACGGCGGGGTTCGACTTGCTAGGAAACTCTCAGTCTTCACCCATATAGTTGAGTAGACAACCAGAATCCTTTGTTGGAAATCTCGAAAAAAGTAGCCTGATATCTTTCTTTAGAAATCCTTGTTGCTGTGATAGCACACTGTGACACGCACTTCCACAGACTTTGGCCACTACCAGCTTATCATAGAGTACCCATGGAGCCTCCGCTTGCTTTCTCGTAGGCCCTCCACCATAGCCCCATATTCGCCGCGACTAACAAGTCCATCATCTTCAGGCCCTCATCTTCCAGGATGATCTTGCCCAACTTTGCTTGCTTGCCACCGAAACCACCACCCGCGAACTCCTGGCCTAGAGAAAGATCCAAACGGTCCAACGAATTTCTAGCATCTTCGGTTTCTTCATCACGGCTGAGTGACAAAGACGAGTTGTTGCGACTGTGACGCCCTCGACGAAAGAACGACGAGCGTTTTGAAGATTCCTCACCTCGAGGCGTAGTAGCTTTCGAACTACTCGGAAGGTTGAATCTTACTTCACTAACCGTCATGGCTGTGGGTGGAGCTCCTTGAAGTCCCGGGACGACATGTCGACACTGTTACAGCAGTCAGCATCATCTATGGCGCATCGCGTTGGTATAACTAGAATCACCTTTAACGATCCTCCACCTATCCCTGTGACAAACTCGCATCGGCCGTTCCACGGACTTGTAAAGACGTAACCACGGAAACTCGTTTGTCTGTCAGAGACTTGAATGCTACTGTACGTCTGGTCTTCCCGTGTCACGAATGGGGAAGTGGGAGCAGCCCGCACATCTGTCGACGCAGAGTTGGTCTGCGCATAATGATTACCTCTAGAATCAGGGCGCCCGTTGTTGTAATCATGGGAGTTGAGTTTTCTGTGGCCAAAGCCACCTGTATGCTGTGATCCTTCCATCCAGATTCGTCGGCGGAACACGTTCTCATTCGCTGACGGGTGACTCCCTGCTTGGAATGATTGGATAGATGTGCCACTATCCCGACTTGTCAGGAGAGGCTTGCCAGCTGTGTCGGAATGAAGAAACTTGGAGTAACCTGGATTGAATACGTCGATGTACATTGGTGCTCCGATCTTTTTCTTGTTGCTAGGATCACTCGATGTCAGGGAAGAAACATCTAGAACAGGCGGATCTTCGATGCGAGCAACGTTCCATTGCGCACCAGACGCAGGATCACGCCGAATTAGGGTGAGAGACGCACTGGAACGCGATGGGTTCTCTGATCGTCTGCGCGGTGAAGGTATCGGCCTTCGATTTTCTTGGTTATGCTGGCTGGAATCGAATGACCGTCGGGGGCTGTCGCTGAATTCTGGAGCGAGCATCACAGACCTCCGCGCATAATTTCCCGCATCGATGTTCTGGTTGTTTGAATACTTGTTTATAGATGCGAGAGTGCTAGGAACAGGTTTTCGAACAGGAGCTGTAGTTATGCCAGGCACCGCTTTCCTGGGCACGATAGGTGTAGAGACAGAGTTGAAAGAATCTTGATTCTGCTGTGTATACTCTGAATCCTGAGATTCAGAAGGGTTGACAAGATAGGCATCTTCTGGTTGCTCAACGTGGACGAAATAGAGTGAGCTCTGTATGTCTTCTGCAGTTACCACCTTTTCCCGCGGCTTCATCGGAGATAAGAAGACATCTGAAGCACGTTAGGCCTACATCAGAGGAAGACATTTTAACAGCCGTACCTCTGCTGCCAGGAACACGGGCGATATACAATACTAGTGGCTCATGCCTCTCATGGGTAGGATTCCTTGGATAAGCTGGTGGGTTGGAAGCAAGAGCGGTAAGCGACGAGAGAGATCGGGCTTCAATGATCGGCGTAGCCATTAGAGCGAAAGACAATGGCAGTATCGTTAGCCAGACAGCGTCGAGGTGGATGTTTATTAGGAGATGACCAGTGGTCTCCCGGGCGTTGCCTAGGATATATTAAAGGCAAGCAATGACGAGGTTGTGCCTGTGTTCGGGTGGCTGTGCGGACGCGTCTCCACCGACTATTGATGTACAGCAAACAGATGGTCTTGGCCTATCGTCGTTGAGCGCGAGAGACAGGCGGAGCTGACAGGCGCGCATCATCAACGGACTCGCGGCGCTTTGCGGGCAGACGAGGCTGATGCTGGTGAAGGAGCCTGGAGCACGCGAGCCTGCTTCGAGTCAAGGCTGAGCGGGCGGTGGCTGGGGCAGCGGTGATTGATTGGTGCAGCAACCAAGGGTCCTAGCGCTGAAAGTCTGCGAACATTTGAAATCTTGGCCTTTGACCTCGATTTTCGCGACCCGCACACGACACGCTCGCCCCGCCAACTCTACGCCCTGGACCTTTCGGAACAAGGACAGACTATACTACCAAGAGTACCCAGTGTCTGTTTTATGCGCAATGGGCGACAATCTCGAGGTATGCATCGCGGAACGACTGCTGCCGGTCGTTCTCGCCGCTAACTGAGAGCTGCAGGAGCGTTTGAAGAGCCATGCCCGGGCTTTCGAAGGCCTCATGTCTCTGATACCCGCCAAAGACTACTACGGGAAGGATGAGAGTATCACTAGCGTATGCACCTCTTCTCTCATGGGCCTTCGCTTTATGCTGACATAATGTCTGCAGACGCAATGGCAAAAGAAAGGGAAGAAGCAGACCCTCGAGGAACGACAAGCAGCCAAGCGAGCGAAGCTGGATCCTGCATCACACAAGAGCGCCAAAGACGTCATGGACGAGAACGCGCTAAAGCGGAAGCGCGAATTGGAGGGTGAGGAAATATCTGAGCCTGAGTCGTCGGACCTCGACATGGACATCACAAAGGAGAAGCCTCTTGAGGGAATCAAGAGTAAGGCAAAGAAGCAGAAGACGCAGCCCGCCGAGCCAGTAGTCGAGGAAAACGAAGAAGCTGCTGAGACACGGCCTTTATCAAAAGCTGAGGCTAAGGCTGCCGCGAAAGCAGAGAAGCGAAGAGAGAAGAGGAAGGAGAAGCAGGAGAAGAACAAGAAAAAGGAGGAGGCCAAGAAGTCGCAGCAGACGTCGTTCCAAGATCTCGCCGCCACCAAGCAACCTGAAGAGGACGAAGTCGAAGACGACGACGAATCTGCAGACGAACACGAACACCCAGACGAACGCATAGAAGCTTTGGACGTGAGCGGTCTCGTTGAAGAGGGTCAGTCTACCGCTCCCTCCACTACTGCCAATTCCAACTCCTCTACAGCCTCGGTCGCGTCAGCCGCTTCATCAAACTCTTCGCTACCTCAGTCTGGCGAAGAAGCACCACAGAAGAAAGCCAAGAAGCCGTACACGATCGACCCGCAAAAGCATGAAGATTTCCGCGCTCGATTAAACGCAAAGCTGGAGGCCATGCGTGCGGCGCGAAAGGCCGACGGTCCGGATGGACGTCCTGCGCGAAATCGAGCAGAGTTAATCGAGGCACGACGGAAAAAAGAGGCCGAGAAGAAAGCTGCCAAGAAGGCCCTTCGTCAGGATGCGAAGGAAGACGAGGCTCGTCAACAAGCAGAGGAGCAGCTCGCACGGATAAGAGGCGGTTCGGGCTCACCTTCCATATTCCCAGCGAGGTCGCCGGAGCACGAGCGCAATTTCAACTTTGGCAAGATTGCATGGGATGGCGCACAGCTTGAGGGAAATCTTTCCGGATTCCTCGAATCCAAGAAGAAGAAGGGCAAGTCAGACGCGAAGACTGCATTAGAGGCTGCGCAGAAGAAGCAGGCTCGTCTTAACGCCTTTGATGAGAACAAGCGCAAAGACATCCAAGAGAAGGATTTGTGGCTCGCCGCTAAGAAAAGGGCACAGGGTGAGAAGGTGTTCGACGATGTCAACCTTCTAAAGAAGAGCCTCAAGCGTCAGCAAAAACAGAAAGACAAGAGCAAGCAAGAGTGGAAGGAGAGGTTGACCAATGTCGACCAAGGAAAGGCAGCGAGGCAAAAGAAGCGAGAGGAGAACTTGAAGAAGCGCAAGGAGGACAAGGGTCAAAAGGGTAAAAAGAAGGTTAAGAAGCCCGGCAAGAAGGTCACGAAGCGACCGGGCTTTGAGGGTACTTTCAAGGGGAAATGATTATGAGGCTGGGTGGAATGACGGTACATAAAAGGAAAAGGAGGTAGCATGTGCACTATTGGAAGGCATTTGGCGTTTGATACCATATCATGGCAGGCATCGTATATGAGCGTTAGGAGTATCAGGGTCTTGAATATTGCGATGTCTTTTCCTCGATTGTATTAGTTCAAATGTCAGTGCTGTCTCGCAAAACAATAGGAATGCATCCAATCGGGCCCTTGATCGCAGCACACCCAATGTCCACATGTATGTTCTCAATAATTTGAGTATCGCTCACAGTTGTTGAAATGGTCCCTTCTTGTACTGATGCATTGACAAATGAAACCCGACTGGCTGTGTCAGGCGGAACCGCTCCTCCTATATATACAGTAAACTCGCACCACTCCTCTACATTATCTGTAAGGCGCATCCGCACGAGCAGCAGCGGCGATCTCAGGCTCCCACTTGTCTCCGTTTGCTAGCAGCTTCTCCTTGTTGTAAAGCAACTCCTCTCGTGTCTCGGTGGCATACTCAGCATTGGGTCCTATATCATGTTAACACATACTTTGGAGCTCACGGATGACGTGGACATACCCTCAACAATGGCGTCGACTGGGCAGCTCTCCTGGCAGAGACCGCAGTAGATGCACTTGGTCATGTCAATGTCATAACGTGTGGTCCTCCTGCTACCGTCCATACGCTCCTCAGCCTCGATTGTGATGGCCTGCGCAGGGCAGATGGCTTCGCACAGCTTGCAAGCAATGCAACGCTCCTCACCCGTGGGGTACCGTCGCAGGGCGTGCTCGCCTCGGAAGCGGGGTGAGATGGGGCCCTTTTCGAATGGGTAGAAGATGGTGTATCTTCAGAAACGTCAGATCGGGTATTCTGGATGTCGAGCATGCTACCAGCCTGCGCATTGAGGTACTTACGGTGGTCGGAAAAACTGCTCCAGCGACACGTACATGCCACGGAACATCTCCATAAGCAAGAAGTACTTGCCGGCGCGGTCCAATGCACCTTCTCCTTCATCCCATCGCTTCGGCTTTGGTAACCGGAAGCCTGGCGGCGGGGGTCCTGCTGGAGTGGCGGCTCGGGATAGAGTGGTAGAGAAGAAGGCGACGGTGGCGGGCGAGGGGAGGCGTCCAGACGCGAACTGCGGTGACCGGAGCAGCGTGGCTGCTGGGCGGCTGCGCGCCAACATTGTCAATGGCTTTGCGCTGGCCATTGTGAGCGTGGTGGAGTCGCTGGCGGGTTGGGGGGTTGCTGGCGGATATGGAGGTTGTCGTCAAGCTCGAAACTTGAGGTTGTCGCTTGTAACGCGGAAGCTGCGATTGGCCGAGAAGCCCAATGACGGCAACAACAGCGGGAGGCAACTCCAGGGTCAGAGATTTGTATCTAGTGATCTTGGAGGGTCTGTGAATGATCTTCAAGTCTGACTTGGTCTTGTATACGAGTTGTTGTGATTATTAGAGGTGCGTCTGTCTGCTCGTACTGAAATGCTTCCTGACGGCTGACTAACGTAATGTAACTTTAGTCTGAAGTTCTAGTCGAGCATCAACATCACCACCACCACCACCGACCCTGCTACCTCGCACGACACCCTCGCAACCCGTCACAATGTTCCGAACAGCACTTCTCAGGTCCGCCCGGTCCGCTGTCCGCGCTGCCCCACGATGCCAGGCCGCAATGGCTCGCCCCGTTGCGCGAAGCTCTTTCGTTCAGCCAAAGCAAATGAACCCCTCCGTATACTTCCAGGCTGTACGATGCTACGCCGCGAGCGCTGGTCTGTCAAAAGATGAGGTCACTGGCAGGATAATGGACCTTCTGAAGAACTTCGACAAGGTAACGACTATGCGACTAGATTTTTAGGCAGTGGCTAACACAGAAGCAGGTCACCGATGCCTCCAAGGTAGCTACCATATGTGTGTGAGGGCTCGGAAACAAATACTCACAGTTTGCAGTTGAACGGCGAATCGCACTTCCACAACGACCTCGGTCTCGACAGTCTGGATACCGTAGAAGTAGTCATGGCGATTGAGGAGGTTAGTTGGCCTGCACGCGATACACGAAAGGCACACATCTGACAATTTGGCAGGAGTTCAGCATTGAAATCCCCGACAAGGAGGCCGATGCCATCCACAGCGGTATGTTCTGAAGCGCAGCGTCAGATTTATACATACTGATGATATCACAGTCAAGCAAGCAGTGGATTACATCATGGCTCAGCCCGATGGTAAGTCTCAAGTTGCAAAACGCAAGGTTACTTGATACTAATCAAATCGCAGCTCACTAAATTATATTGGGATCCGCGCTGGGTGAGAGATGATGGATGTGGAATTGGTAGTCGGTCCTACCGGCGTCGCTATATATATGCCTCCTTGTAAAACAGTCGCCTGGGTCGGCACCGTGTACTTCTGATAGAATTGACGCTATCCACCTCCCATTGCTCTGGCTATTGTGTTGTTGGACGCCTGTTTACTTGATTGCTGAGGAGTGCGTAACTAATCTTGGCACATCCGAGACCGAACCCTGTCCGCTGATAGATGTGGCACGAGAATCAACCCCCAACTCGAAACCTGCACACGCGCGTTACGATACCCCCTTTATCGCTACATTGCCGTGATCCGCCACGCTCTCTTACATCGCCTTCACCGAAAGTCCCACATAGTCCGACACGGCGTATGCGCAGCCCAAGCGCCCTCATCCCTGCGCCCGTTGAGGAGCATCACCCATAATTTCAACAAACACTCCCCACCCGTTCCACAACCACACCTGATGGCTTCTAGCTCTGGTCTGACGCGCCGGAGAGGAGGCGGCGGCGCTGCCGGCAACGGCGAGGACGAGGGCAGCCGGGTCAGCTCGCCAGCACCCAAGCGCAACGACGACCGCACCCCCGAAACCTCCTACGAAAGCTCCGAGAACGGCCACAAGATTGCATTCGATCCCCGCGATATCAGCGAAAATGCAGAGAGGAGCAAACAGCCAAAGCTGACGCTCATGGAGGAGATTATCCTTATGGGACTGAAAGACAAACAGGTGTGTACACCGCAGGCCGCGGGCGGGCTAGGGGCAGCAGGCTGATGAGTGAGAATAGGGATACCTGTCGTTCTGGAACGACAACATCTCCTATGCGCTACGAGGATGCATTGTCATAGAACTGGCCTTCAGAGGCCGTGTGAGCATGCAGAAGGACTCGAATCGACGCCGCTTCCCCCTCGCAGACAGGGTCATCGAAGTTATTGATGACACGTTGACTGGAGAGGTCCTACTGGACGAGGCCCTGAAGATGATGAAGTCGAGCGAGAAGATGAGCGTCAACTCCTGGATCGATCTCATGAGCGGTACGTCTATGGCGTGGTATACCAAGGCTGATGCTCGACACTAACTATACAAACAGGAGAGACATGGAATCTCATGAAGATTGGCTACCAACTGAAACAAGTACGCGAACGACTATGCAAAGGCCTCGTCGACAAGGGCATCCTGCGCACCGAAAAGAAGAACTTCCTCTTGTTCGACATGGCTACACACCCCGTTGCAGACGGCGGCGCAAAGGAGGAGATTCGACGTAGAGTCCGGAACGTTCTCACCAACCGTACCGTGGTCCTTCCTGGCAGCCAGTTCCTCCCCGAAGAGTTGGAGTTCAGGGTGCTTCGAACCATCACCATGGTCTGCGCCGCCTATGCCGCCAACGTACTAGAGAACGCCTTGACAACGTTGGGTCACGAAGCGCGGGAACGGGCTTTCGCTCAAGTGGACGAGTTGCTGGCAGAGTACTCACAATGGCCCTTTGCAAAGAGGCAGGGGGGTTCACAGGGTGTCGGCGCAAACTTGGGTCAGCTCATCACTGATGAAGTTAATGGTTCCAAGGATAAGGAGCTTCAACTTGAGGTAAGCCGATTGCATTTTGATTCCAAATATGACGATAGAGCGCTAATGATTGAACAACAGGTTGTTGCTGCGTGCTTGAGCGTCTTCACTCGACTGGACTCATTGCTTTGAGCGAACAAGACGCATCAAGAGCAGTGATATATTGGGCTGCAGGTAGAGGGGCGCATGCCCCAGCAACAGCGAACATGAACGTTTGGAGCATTTACAGCCAGTAGATCAGACGCATATAGCCGGCGACTTGTAAGCGGCGGTGTGTCCGGGTCGGGTATGGAAAATGTAGGGTATTGTCAGTTCCTAGCATTGATGCAACTACGACGGATCTGGATGCGAGGGCGTCGGAAAGCGATGACGAGGTGTATACCAGACGCTTCTTCTTCTTCTTTTCTATTAGGCGGTTCTTTCCATAAAATACAACCTTTATTCAATAACGAACAAGGTGCATTACACGGTGGCTTTTACTCGAAGCTTGCCTAGCTAGGCATGCGCTAGCATTCGTCATGGCGTCGCACGTGATGAGTGCGTGGAGACGATGGAGTGCGAGTGTAGTTATGTGGAACAGCCGGTAAGAAGGATCATGGCCTCTGCTCTGGTGAAAGAAACCACGACTAACAGAGGCTGCGGCTGCGTTGGAGCGTGCCGGGCAGCTTCAGTGTTCGTTATGGGCTTTGGCTGGCTCGGCGCTTGCAAGCGGCAGAACTGGCTGCTTTGGCGCAAATCCATCAATGCCTCTGCCTGACACACAACACATCATTCCAAGTTCCGAGCTTATCCACGGCCGCGACCCCGCCCAAGGTACCGCAGCAGGTGTTTCGCCGATTTAGGTTCCTGCCAATACTCTCGCCTGTGAAAGGCTTACAGACGGGCTGCTGCGCGCTTGACTACCCGATCGGCACTTCTTTCCCTGGACAGCCAAACAGAGGCCCAGCCCAGCCCTGTGACCTGTGACGACGCGCAAATTGCATGTTCCCAAAGGTATGTGTTTTTTTCTGTATTGCTGCTATTAGTTCTCATGGTCGCGGCGCCATGGATGCGCTTTCTTGAGATGGAGGCGCTGTTGTTGCTGTCGCCATGGCATCGCGCACCCGCCCCCTTCTTTTGCCAGGCGCGACCGCATGGGACGCCCATTGACCCACTCGAGCCTCCATCACTCCTTCCAGCCTCCATGCCTCGGCTCTAACAAGGGCAGCAAACACGCAGGTCGCTCCTGCCGCGCGCATTATAATTCACCACGCGATGCCCTCTCCGCCGCTAGCCGACTCCCAAGGCCTCGATCCCGCCCACGGCGCGTCCACAAACGGCAACAGCAGTGAAGGTGCTGTCCAACCCGCAAACACCCCAACCAGCATCAATGGACCCGACGGCGCGTCCAACGAGAACAACGCGATTCGAGACGGAAAGCAGAAGGCCAAGGCTGTCATGGCGGCTTCTGGCTTGAACCTCGCCAGCGCGCAGGGCGACACGGCATCGCCAGCGCAGCCCGAAGCCATCAACGGCGCGTCGCCTAGTAGAAAGCGATCGCGTTCGGGAACCCGCAAGTCTTCACGCACGCCTTCTCACGACGATGGCACGAAACCTACAACCTCGCAGGCCCATCTCCTCGACCGCCACATTGCGCGCGACCTCCTCGACAGCGTAAACAAGTACGAGCGCAATAAACATTCCGAGAAGGTATATGGCGAGCTGAACGACCTGCGCCATTTCTACCGCGACGAGGTATACCCTGTCCGACGACAGAACCCCGGCGCCATCTTTGGATATGGCTATGCTGGCTACGGCAACGGCGTGACCGACATACCACCCGATCCCAGAGACCCGCGAGCCCTACCGCAAACGAAGCTGCTATATCCCGAACATGCCAAGCGCGCCGGCCGTCGACTCGCGCCGCAACTCAAAGTTTCGAAAGAGAAGGGTTTGCAGCAAGCAGACCAGATCGAAGAGCTTGTGCCTGTGCGTCTGGACATCGAATTAGACAGACTGAAACTACGCGACACTTTTACCTGGAACCTCCATGACCGTGTTACCAACCCTGTGCTCTTCGCCCAGACCCTCGTCGAGGACTTCCAGATACCACCCGAGCTGCGTCAGAACGTTATGCAACAAATCGATCGCGAGATCCACGAGCAGGTTCAAGACTACTACCCTCACGCTTTCTTCGATGATGAGCCTCTGGACCCCCATCAGCCATACTCGGCATACAAGAATGACGAGATGCGGATATTGATCAAATTGAACATTACCATTGGCCAACACACTCTTGTGGACCAGTTCGAGTGGGAAATCAACAATCCTCTAAATGCGCCCGAGGAATTTGCAAGGCAGATGGCTGCTGATTTGTCACTGTCCGGAGAGTTCACTACCGCCATTGCCCATTCCATAAGAGAGCAGTGTCAGATGTTCACAAAGAGCCTGTACATCACAGGCCATCCCTTCGATGGACGACCAGTTGAAGATACCGATATTCAGGACAACTTCTTGGCCTCACCACTCCCCTCTGTATTCCGCCCGATGCAGTCTACAAAGGATTACCAGCCGTACCTATACGAACTAAGTAACGCTGACCTAGAACGAGCCGAACTATCGATTATGCGCGAACAGCGGCGCCAGAAACGATCTGTCAACAGACGTGGCGGCCCTGCCCTGCCAGACCTTAAAGACCGCCAACGGACAGTACGCACCTTGGTTGTTTCTTCAGTCCTACCTGGTGCTGCGGAAACCATCGAGGACAGTCAGCTCTTCAAGGCTACACGCAAAATTAGAGAGGGCCGCCGTCGTGGTGCTGATGGAAGCTCAGACGAATCGGACAGTGACGAATCGGTAGTAGACTCTCCCGCACCTGCACAACTGACCGGAGGTACTGCGCGGACCCGGGGTATGCGTGGAGCTGCCACTGCTGCTCAGGCTGCTATGCGATCCGCTATTGGAAGATCAGCAACCCCCGAAGTGTCCAACATTCAACCCCATCACGAGCCGCGGGCATCCAGATCACTACGATATGAGGCGCGGGAAGAGAGTGTATCTGAGCCTACAACACTCATAGTCAAACTCCGCATATCGCCCGCCAAACTTAGGGAATTCCAGAGGAACCCAAGGGCTTTCGCAAAGCCCGCCTCGACTCCCATGGTGGCCCCCTCGCAACCCCCAACACGAAGCACACCTACCGCAAACTCAATGCCACCTCCACCATCGCCAGCCATACCTACTCGTTCAACCCCAACCGCATCAGCTTCGGTAGAAGCTTCGCCGAAACCTCCGCCTACGCCCACACCAACGACCCAGAACAAGCAGTGGCAGTACAGGCCGGATGGCTCACTTGAGGCACCTTGGCCAACGCCCGCCGTTTCTCAACATGTAAGATCCTCGCTCATGTCTACGTAGATCTCTGACTAATCCACATCAGCCTCCCACTCCTCCGTGGCTTCAACAAGCACTCCAGGATCTACGTGATCGGAATCCCGGCGAGCTCTTCGAATCTACTATGCGTTATGCAGTCATGAATGAGCGCTACGAGGACCCAAAGACGGGCGATATTGTGTCCCGACAAGTCAAGCTTGATACGCTACAACCAAATGCCCCCCTGCCAGCGAACCACAAAGCATATTTCTTGCCGCGAATCCGGTGCATAGACTGCCCGGGCAAATTGTACAATGCTGGACCCGAGCAAACAGTCAATAATTTCGAACTACATCTGAAGAACCGCGTACATATGGAGAACGTGCGCAAACGGACTGGACAGCCTTTGTAGGGCAGGGCATCCAGATCTTCTGGCAGCGCGAATAGGAAATGATATTCAGAAGCATAGCGGGGTCTTTTTGATATATGCAAGCGCATTCTAGGGTATAAATTCCCGTGTAAAACAGCGGATCAGTTGGGAGCATGTGGAGTTGGGCATACAGACAACGTGCTGGTGCATCGGCGTTCTCATTTGCCGGCTACAACTTGAAAATCAGTTGTTCCGTCTTGGATTACCACTTGGAAGAGTGGACACAATCGCAAATTTTGATCTTTGTCCGAGGCTACTTTAAGTACCTTCCTAGTTCTTTTCGTTGCTGGTGTCGTTTGTAAGGTATAAGTAGGGGTTGGTAGTCTTCGACGCAGCAATGTAAGTAGGCGCCAATCACTATTATCCACATCTTCAAGGCTGTGCAGTTGTTTTTTCTAGTACCGTGAAGGTCTCTGTTTATTCGGCAGCCTCGAATTCCCCTCAAGATTGCCTACGTAAAGCATATCGTCTCTGCCTTAAACCATCACTCTGTCACGTGTTCGGTTCCGGCTATACGCAGCCCGCCGGCATGATGCCCAAAGTAGCCCTTCTCGTCACCGCTCTCGTCACCCTCATCATGAAAGCTCACGCTGCCACTCTCCCAATTCGGATTCTGACCCATAATATACGCTATGCCGCCGACCCGCCAGCCACAGGCGAAAAGCCCTGGTCCACACGCAAGCAATTGATCCTCAATGAGTTACACTACAATACCTTACACAATCCAGAATCATTCATATGTCTTCAAGAAGTACTCAATGAACAGCTAGTTGATATCATGACCGGTCTGGGCGACGAATGGGCCTACATCGGCGTAGGCAGAGACGATGGCAAAACGAAAGGCGAATACAGTCCTATCATCTATCGGAAAGCCGTCTGGGAACTAGTAACATCGCAGACCGTTTGGCTAAACGAGAACGGAGCGGTAGGGAAGAAAGGCTGGGACGCGGGATCTGTCCGCATCCTCAATTTGGGCGAATTCAAACACAAGCAAAGTAAAAAAGCCATGGTAGCGATGTCTACGCACTTTGACAACGCAGGCGCTATCTCGCGCCGCGAGTCTGCGAAGATCATCGAAAAGGTCGTTGCAAATGTCACTTCGCCCACCTCAAATACTTCGTCTTCCACCTTACCTTTCTTCCTGGCCGGCGACCTCAACTCTGAGACTTCTGGCGAAGCATACAAGATACTGAACAACGGTTCGTCCATCATGCAAGACACAAAGGAGCAGGCCAAGTGGCTGTACGGGGACACGAACACGTTTACGGATTTCGATGACCAGACGAAGACGCTGATTGACTTTGTTTTTGTGGGACCGAGAGGAAAGAGCGATTGGGCGCTTGAGGGATATAGTGTTTTGCCGAATAAATTTGAGGATGGGGTTTATGGTAGTGATCATCGGGCTGTTGTTGTAGATGGATTGCTCAAGATTTGAGGTTGGGCTCTTGCTTCGTTCCAAGGTAGTCTGGATCAAAACTGTCATTAGTGTGGCATTACACGCGTACACGATTGACAGCTACCTGACAATAGTGAAATTGCTTTGCGTTTTCACCTGTGTCCGGTTATGCAGCAGATACGGAGGTCACCCACCGTAGCCCAGATGATCACAAGCCTAATGTCTAGATCCAGGCAGATTAATTCACTTTGGGAAGAAAAGCAGGTCGAGTGTGACGTTGTCAGGCGATCGTCGTCATTGGGCTTTGGCTAAGCGAAAGCTCGAAACCACCCCACTGAGGGGCTGGTCTGTGAACACAGGAACGACCTCGCGCACCACTCCAATTCTAGCTCCAGCCCATCTTCCCACACTCAACTATACTCAAGATGGCCGAAACCGCAGCTGTCGGTAAGCTCAATCCTCCTTCCCTATGCATGTCGTCGACATATGAAGCTGTTTTAGACAGAGACATAGCTTAAAGCACAGTTTTGTCTTTGTCAATGAGTCGCAGGAGCTAACCCATATTGCAGACTACACTTTGGCGAACCCAGATACTATCACCAAGTACAAGGTCGCCGCCGAAATCTCCCAGAAAGTCCTCAAGGAAGTCTCCGGTACGATGCTCTTCAAGCTCGCGCTTACTTCACGCGCGTAAACAGACACAAAACTGACCGGTTCAGGATGGATCGCCGCCGATGCCAGCATTGTCGAGCTCTGTGAGCGCGGTGACAAGCTCCTAGACGAGGAGGTTGCCAAGGTCTACAAGGGCAAGAAGGTCGTGAAGGGCATTGGACACTGCACCACCATCTCCCCGAGCGCCTATATCACTCCGTACACACCACTCAAGTCCGACACCGAGGAAGCCGCCACGACACTGAAGGAGGGAGAGGTTGTCAAGATCCAGTTGGGTGCCCAGATCGATGGCTTCTGCGCAATTGTTTGCGACAATGTCATTGTTGGCGCCGCTGAGGAAGTCACCGGACGCGAGGCAGATCTCATTCTGGCTACACACTACGCCAACGAGCTCCTGCTCAGGTTGATGGTACCTCCAAGCTTGATCCCCCACAGCGATGAGGAGGAGCAAAAGAAGGCTGCAACAAAGAAGCCCTACACCCAGAGCCAGATGACCAACATGCTTGAGAAGGTTGTCAAGGCCTACGGCTGCAACCTCGTCGAGAGCACTACCATCTGGCAATTCGACCACAACGAGATAGAATCCAAGAAGAAGATCATCCTTGCGCCTGGTGAAGGTGTCAGGGGTGACGGTCTTCCTGAGGTCGGTGAGGTGTGGGGTGTTGAGATGGGTGTCAGTCTCGGAAGCGGCAAGGTCAAGAACAATGGCAACAGGACTACTCTGCACCGACGTACGGCTACCACCTATCAGCTCAAGCGTCCTACCTCGCGAAGCCTCCTGTCTGAAGTAGTCAAGAAGTTCGGTACCTTCCCCTTCAGTCTGCGACAGCTGGAGGACGAGAAGGGCGCCAAGGTTGGTGTTGTCGAGTGTGTTCGTACTGGTGTACTTCGCCAGTACGAAGTCGTCGTTGACAAGGACAACCAGCCCGTAGCTAGGGTGTTCTCAACTGTTGGTAAGTTCTAGGATTCCCCTGCTCGCTCCTTGCTCAGGAGATGTCCGATATTGGCCGATGTGCTCGCTTGTTTGGTCTCTCAAACATGAACCATCTTGCTGGATGTAGAGCATCACACAGGCAAATTTGTTAGCTAACATCGTAACAGCAATCACCAAGAACGGAATGCAGCGCCTAGCTCAACCTACTGCCATTGACACTTCCAAGTACAAGTCTGACAAGAAGATCGAGGACGAGGAGATCCTCAAGATTCTGGAACAGCCTATTGGCAAGACTTCAGCAAAGAAGAACAAGAAGAAGAAGAAGAAGCCTGCCAAGAAGGCCGCTGAGGGCGGTGCCGCCGCTGAAGAGGAGGAGGACGATGATGACGAAGAGTAGATGTAGGTTCTAGGGAACCGTAACGCCATACCCGCCTCTCGACTATGAACCTGGATGACACGGACTGTTTTGAGATCGCAAAAACGGCAGCCCCGGAAACAAAATCGGCAATTGACCTAGGTCTGATATGCCTTATCGTATGGTCATGCACATGATTATGTAGAAGCGATAGCAATTCACAAAAAAGAAAGATCAGTTCTCCGGACGTCATCTACCATAGCTTCTGGTTGTTGAAACTGATTCAGCACATAATGTATAACAGTCTCGCGCTCGAAATGTGCCCCTATGATCTGCGAGATGAGACCGTGCATGTCAACGCGTCTTTAGCCTCCAGACATGGCTTCAACATACCCGATGATCGGCGATTATGACCACAGGATACAAACACACTGTTGCAACAAACAGTTTTCATGCGCGGAGTATTAGTCTCAGAGGATGGAGCAAGTGGTAGACTATATCGCGTCGTCTTTCGGGTCTTCGTTCAGGTCTGTCTATCACATACGCTATTGTTCTGCATGCGCCGGATAGAGTGACTATAGTGAATATTCCAAGGCTTCCTAATCGCCTTAGACGACAGGGCGTATACATTGTCCATGTAGACAGTCAGGCACAACGTGAGATAAGGCAAAATAGGTATGCAGAGAATACCCCTGAGTGGATGATGCGAGGACTGTTTGTCCGTCAAGATTTTTTTGTAGCAGCACCGGATAACATGGCCGTACACTGTCTCTGTATGAGTATAGATTCAGGAATTGCGTGGCGATATCTACAGGTTGCGATTGGTGAAGGTGAGATGGGCACGTCAAGAAAAAAGCGGACTTGGTATTGTAGACTCCCTTTGGAATAGTTGCACCACCACCACAACGATACACCACTTTTGTTGAGACTCAAAATCGATGAACCGATCGAGGAAGTCTCTGTCTATCCGCAAATATAACTTGGAGATCCTACAAGATACTGCGATATTTGCGGTTGCGTAGGGGGCTGACATAATAAGAAGGCCCGTCCAAGCGTCCAGGGCACCCTCGAACAACCTTCAGCGACTCTCATTCTCGCACTACCGACCCACCACGACGGGCACGGCATTGCGGCGTCTTGAATTCTCGGACAACACGTGAAGTAACTCTCGTCATGCTCGTATCTGCTACAGCGCGCTGACCAAACTGTAGTTTCGCCATGCCGGCCCTCCGCAAGTCTCTCCGGGAGTCGCGCGACTTTAAATCGCAACAAAGGTCCAGCACCACGCCCTTCGCCTCACCTACCGGCACTCCAAGCGAGCACACCAACGAGAAGAAGCAACGATCAATCACCGAATGGACTGAACCCCAACCGCAAACTCTCGCCCCATCGTTCGAAGAGCACGGTTTTGCGCGGCACGGCGTCTTGGAGAATATGGCCCCCCTCGGTGTGCCTCCAAAGGCAAAGGACAAACAGCGCGCGCGCGCTCTCGACGGGCCGCCCACTGCTCGGCATTCGCTACTGGGGAAGAGCGCGGTTTTTGCAGGTGACGAGGTTGGGTCTACGCCAGAAGTCACTCCAGCTCCTGAGCTCGAGCCGGACGACTCGGAGCGGCAAGAGGAGGACGAGATGCCGGTTGGCTTTCCCATGCTTGAAGACGACGAGGACGACGACTACGAGCCCAAGACGAAGGCGAAGAAGAAGGTGAAGGTGTCAAAAACTCCTGTCAGGGGCAAAACCCCAGTGCAGAGTAAGACATCTGTCAATGGCAAGACGCCCGTCAAGAACGGCCACACCAAAAGCACCTCTGTTTCCGCTAGTCCAGCAGTTCAAGCTGTTTCCATGTCAGAGCCCGTTGAAGCTGCGACTCAGCGTATCCAGATTGCTGTCAATGATGCTATCTCCAAAGCCAACAGTCACACTGGCAAGCGCTACGTGGGCATTGCCTTGCGGCGCGCCTACGAGCAGAGCAAGACAGACTCCGCTTTGGCAGACGCTATTGAATCAGTAATTCATGGAAAGAGCACCAGTGAACAGCTCTACCGATTTCGCAAATTCATCAAGCAGTTCAAGCAGGAGGAAAAGACGAGGTTGGGCTTGAGCAAAGACAGGCGCTTTGATCAACAAGCTGCGATGAATCACGATGCCTCGTTCTTCAGTCAGCAGCCATCTCCAAGGGCCAGTAGTGAGATCGTTCCTGATGACTCTGTTTCGGCTGTCAACGACTACCAGGATAGACAGTTCATGAACTCTACAAATTCGGCTACAAACTTCTCGCACAAAGCACTGCAATCAGCTCTTGATCAAAATTCAGGCCAAGCACCGCCTCATCCGTTTAGTACCGCACCCGCTCTTCCAGCGACTGCTGACACCTCAGCTGAGTCAACGCCGAGGATGCAGTCCAAGTCGCCCCGAAAACGAACCGCTACCAATGGAAGTCTGGCGCCGGATTCTGCGATGGAACTGGATGGAGGAATTTCTACTACAGCACCAACTCCAGCCGCAAGGACGCCGGACACTGGGGCGAGCGATTCTGAGCTATCAGATGTCAATGAAGAGATTGTCCAGAAAGGCCCTCCAGAGCCTGTGCAGGTCAATGGAAAATCTACTGCACCTGCGCCAGTTGTAGCTCCAAAGAAAGGAAAGAATCCTGCGGCTGCACGTGCTGCTAAAAAGATGAAAGGCAATGCTGGGAGGCTATTCGGGAAGCATGCCCACAAGCTACAGCCACCGACCGCGGAGCAGCAAGCGGAAGATGAGCGACTCAATGAAATGCGAAAGGCTATGGTCGATGAGCAGCCTATCCGGAAACTTGAGCAAATTCCTCCTCCCATCTCCGATGTCCGCTTCGATGATGAGATTCTTGAGACAGAGTCTCTGACTGAGTCTCAAATCGCGGTGGGACCTCCTGTTGATTCTGATCAACCGCGACGCGCTGGGCGGATTCCAAACCATGGTACTAAGCGTATACGAGAGGATCCGTCACGGTTCTCATCACCTCAGTTCGAACCGGCTGTGTCGTCGCGCCCTTCAACGCCTGCGATGGGACCGGCACCTAAGCGGGTCAAGCTCACTAACGGACAGGGCGCGAGGACGAAACGATCGTAAGTATTTTCAGCTCAATTTCTCAGCATCCTTGTCGTTTTTCAGTGTTGGTCGATGCATGTACCCGCTTTGGCACAGGGCTGTAAGGCGTCGACTGAGCAAGCTCTACGTGTTTGCACGTGTTCGCATCGTACATTCCTCAACACACCATCAAGTCATTACAGGGCTAACGTTACACGTATAGGCCGGTCAAAAACCGAGATGCAGGACCTATTGCTGGTGTAGCCTTTACTGGTGGTGGCGGTTCGAGACAGCTGGGGCCTGATGACAACGACCCGGTAAGTGCCACTGGAATTCCGAAGCATCCAACCACACCATTCCTCTTTCACCACACAACCCATCAACCACATTTTATCTTTTTCATCCTCAACATCAATGCTGCTCACTACAAACATCACGCCACTCAAATTTCCATATTCTCCTCCACTTTCTGTCCTTTCTTCACCTCTAACAGAATGTCAGAACTCGCCGCAGTCAGAGAGCGACGACTTTTGCTCTGCGTGTAGAGGTGCAGGCGAGTTTGTATGCTGCGAAAACTGTCCACGCGTTTTTCATCTTCTCTGTTGCGATCCGCCACGAACTCAGGTTCCAGATGGAGCGTTCTACTGCTACGAGTGCAACGCAAAGTCTGCTGCACCCGACGATTCCGCGGACTCGTATCCCAGTCTGGGTCCGCTCTTCAACAAACTCGAGCGTACCAACCCTCGCGCGTTTGCTCTGCCTTCAGACATCCAAAATAACTTCGAGGGCGTTTCTGCACGTCCCGATGGCTCGTACTCTGAGGAGGTCAAGAAGTTTCCGCTGTAAGTGTGACGCGTTTCGTCGCGTGATTCGGCACTAACATCACAACAGGGCGAAGAACAGTGGCTATGGCTACCAGAGACCTGAATACACCAAGCTCATTGATGCTGATCACAAAGTTATCTTATGCACGCAGTGCGGAGTGTCGAGTGGTAACAAGCGCCAAATGCTGAAGTGTGACTTTTGCCACGCGTACTGGCACTTGGACTGCGTCGACCCACCTCTCGCTAACCCGCCACACATCAGTCTTGAAGCATCTCAGCGGGACGCCTGGAGATGTCCTCGACATATCGAACATGACCTTCGCAGTGGTCTCCTGCTGCAGAACGATTTGAGTTCTAAAGATGGGGATTCTGAGATGGCCGATGCCGCGCCGGTAGCTCGGGTGCCACGTAGAGTCCGAGTGCGCAAGCAACCCGAATACGTTGAGTCAACATTCTCACGTGGTATGCGCAACAACGGCTTGATTGATATCACAAATGATCCTGACGATGACACTGATGGCGAAGGCAATTATGTATTCGGCGACAATGAATCCAAGGATGTCAACTCCAAGATCTTCCGTGTCCCCGAGAAGGGACTCATCCTTGACTTCGTCAGCAAGGTCAAGAGGTATGTACAATCGCATCAGCAAGTCATCACACTCATCACTAATGCGTTGCAGCGGCCGTGTAGGGAAGAAGGTTGAAGCTCGACACGCTGCAGACACTGCATCACGGCGCAGAGCGTCGATGCAAAATTTCATCGCGTATCCATTCCCACAGCAGCAAGCAGCCCTGGCTCTGGCACAGTTGGCAAACAAGACGCCAGAAACGAATCTGGGTGAGGGCAAAGTCCATGCGCTCATCCTCGGTCTCACTGTAAGACTGCCTGTAGCCCACCGGCCTTGTTTTGATCATCGGCGCTAATTCACGTGAAACAGTCCGAAGCTCCCCCGGCTGTCTCCTCAGCCATGTCCAACGCAGATCCGCTGCCGCCCTCAGCAGACGAACGCGCGCATTTGGAGATGCTGCAGAAGCTCATTCAGCAACGACTTGGAGCTTGAATACCCGTCGAGTACACCGGATCTGAACCTAATCATTTAGCTCATTTGCCGCGACGCCACCGCACAACATGGACGCATCTGGACCCCCACGACGCCTTTATCCAACCCTAAAGCTCAACTGCGTCAGATCATCACAAGGTATCTTCATCAAGGTAGTGCATACCTCCAAGACAGGCCGTGAACGAGGCGTTGGAATGCTCAGCTCTGCTCGTCTAACTTCCGTACTCGATCATGACACTTGTTCGCTAACGGACGCGCGGCATGGTCCTTGTCCGACACGTCAACGATTTTTGTCTCTTTTGAAAAAAGCTCCCTCCCTGGTCCTCCGCATCCTTGTTTTGGTGGGTTATTTTGCACACGATGCGTATATTGCGCGCTCGTTTTGTCCCATACGTTTACCAAGTACAAACAGCTATATATTGTCAAATCCCTGCACTTTTGACAGGGAGTTTCTTTCGCTGTACCACAACTGCATAGCGAGGAGTTTGAATCGGGTACTTTTTGTACATTCCTAGCTCTTGCTGATGAGCTTTTGTTCTTTTCCATGGCGTTTCTAGGGTGCTCTAACGAGCAAGATGGATGAGGGACAAGTGCAAACTTTCTGCCTAGTTTAGGACGCGGGTGTCACGCGGCCTGCATATTTACTCGCTATTCTCCTAGGAGTATTTACGATGCACATCTTAGGAAGGCATGTAGTTTTACATAGGCGACGAACAAGAAGTCTACTGTGTCTTTAACGTTTTGTGCCCCATCTGGATCTAATGTGAGAAGCGAGAATGTAGCTCAGCTATCCGGGTGTTGGCATAGACAACCAAGAGAGTTTTGTTTCAGGCTGACTTGGGTTCCTAAAGTTCCACCATGTCAGACACTGTGCACACATACCACGATAAATCACCCGTCGTGAAGCTTCTCGCCAGTCCATGTCGACTCAGCTCCGTTCGGTTTTGCTAAGTAGTAACAAACATTGCTGACAAATGTATATACCATCTTGTATCGTCTAGACGCAAGGCCACAGAATACTGCGGCTCTGTTTGGGGCACATTTTGTCAAACACGTTGTAGTAGAAAGAACGGAATTGCTCGCACATCGAAAAAGGCGGTGTTATCCTTGACCAGAAGTAGATAAGAAAAATAAGACGGATTGAACATGTTAATTGGGTATGATTTATTCCATGATTCGTCCAATCGTCTTAACCTAATGCAGCGATAAGGCCATGTTTACTGGCAAAGCGGTAGCTTGACTATTCTGGAACCGCATCACGCGAATCAACTCATATCTCATCTCGTTCTGTAGCAAGAGCTACGGGACAACGTCACGTGAAGCTAAAATTCGTGTAGCTTACGCTCAAGGCTTGCAGCGACCGAAGTAGCGAGGGTACAGGCAGCAGTCGCGGACGGTGTGCTGCTTGCAGAGCCAGGCGAGGAAGCGCTCAAGACCAAGACCGTAACCGCCGTGGGGAGAAGAACCATACCTGGAGTTATGTTAGTAAGGCACAAACTGATGGAACGCGTATGGTGGTTGACTTACTTCCTCTGGTCAGTGTACCAGTAGTACGCCGCAGGATCGATACCTTCCCTTCCGTATGCAGCCATCAACTCATCATAGTTGTCCATCCTCATGCTGCCACCAACGATTTCACCGACACCAGGCATCAAGCAATCTACACTCTCGGTAACCCTAGCATCGTCCTTGTCCTTCAGCATGTAGAAAGCCTTGATCTCGGCGGGGAAGTGAGTCAGGAAAATAGGCTTGTTGATGATATCTGTCATGCGACGCTCAGCAGCCTCGGCGATATCGTCACCGAATTTGTGCGGCTCGCCATCTTCATTGGGGATCCCGTTCTCGACGAGCCAGTCGATGGCGTCTTGGTACTTCATGCGCTTGAAAGGCCGCTCTGGTACTTGGAACTCGGGGTTAAGGTCCATGATGTATTGCTTGATGACAGGGTCGGACATGGTGACTTCAAGGACACGGCACATGACCTCCTCCAGGTGGTTCAGTAGATCATCAAAGTTGATGTAGTCGAGCTCGGCTTCGACGTGTGTGTACTCAGCCAAATGGCGACGTGTCAGTGACTTCTCTGCACGGAAAGATTTCTCAATACAGTAGACATCACCCATAGATGGCAAACAAGTCTCAAGGTATAGTTGAGACGACTGGGTGAGGTATGCTTCCTCGTTGTAGTAGCCGAACTTGAACAGCGTAGAACCACCCTCAACCTGGGTTTGGACGAGCGCTGGCGGGCTGACCTTGCGTAACCGAAGTTCCTTGTAGACCTGGTTGAACGCAAACTCGACAGCATCACGGACGATCAAGACCTTGGATGCCGTCTCTCCGCGCATAGTGAGATGTCGCAGATCCAACAGTGTCGCGTGCTCAGTGTCCTTTGAGACCCTGTTGGTGATGGCATCGTCGCCACCCGCAGCCTTCCATCCGTCGTGGATCTTGTAGTAGTCGACGTGTAGTTCGCGGTTGTTGGGTGCGTGTGCGCCCTCGGGGATCTTCCTCAGCTCTCCGAAAACCTCCATGCTGGTCTCGCGGGTCAAAGTGAGGGCATCGTAGGTCTTTGCCAGCTTGCCGGTGAAGATGAGCTGCATCTGACCGTAGCCGTCTCTTAGTGTAACGAACATGACGTCCTTTTGTCTTCGCTCACGATGGACACGGCCGAAAACGCGTACTCGTGTACCTTTTGTATCCTTGCCATCTCCTAGTGTGATCTTCTTCGAGTCGGTGTCGTCGAGCTTGATCCTGATGGGCGCAGGCAAGCTCTTGTCTTCTTCCAAGACAATCTTCTTGGCTTCGTCCAGTACCTTGTTGCGATCATGCTCCTCCTTCATGCGCTGGGCAAGTAGTTGTTGGTCCTTCTCCTGCTTCTTCTTCTGTGTTTTGGCGTAGTTGACTGCCTTTTTCATGGCCGACTTTGCGGCCTCCTTCCACTCTAGCCTCGATGTCGCATCCGCACCCTCTGCGACCTCGCCGGTGACGCTCTTGCGTGTAAGGAACTTTGCCGTCTCGCCGCGCGTGAGGACAGCGTATCCGAGTGACTTGTAGGGAAGTGATTCGTCGCCGGTTTGTTCTGGGATATCGTGACCGACATCTTCATCGATGTAGTAGGTAGCCTCGGCCATGATTGCGGTATTTGCAGATTCGAGTCGTGTTCAATGGGTCGTTGTCGCGCTCCGAAATATCTTGAGTGGTCGCGGGGTGAGTCAAGAACCCCTCCAACAATGCTCCGTGCGCGCCCATGTGAAGCGCATAATGTATCGATAAGACTCACACTCCCAATGCCGCCTCCTTATCTGTCGGTGAAATGTCATATCAATGCCGTCTATGTCTATTTCCAGACGCCAAATTTCGCCTATCTGTTCGGCTCGAGAACAAATCTCCAATCTTGACTTGCTGCCTGCATAGGACATAACGCTTCGGCATAAGCCGACAACTCACGCGTCTCACGCCATCGTCCCAACTTGTGGCTACGACTCACCAGACTTGGAACGTACAAGTGGCGACGGTAACTTAGGCTTAATGAATGTATCTGAATTAAAAATGTCTGCATTAGGTATTGCAAGCCGAGGCTGCTCTAATTCCGCGCTGACAAACGGGGTACCTAACCTCCAGTGCATACTGTTTTTTATCACGTTATATATAACAGTGATTTGGTACGCCAGAAAAGTCGCAGATATTCTCTTACATAGTATTCGATTAAACAATGGCGGATCCAAATCTCTACAAATACGAATCTCCTCTAAAGGGCTATGAAGGCCTTGAGGCACTACCCGAGTATGTTCTTCCTTGACACATTTTCTGTATCAAACGTCGACTACAGTAGTATTCGTGGTTGAGACAAGGACTCACAATCTATAGCGAAAAGGCTGCAGACGGGAAGTCGTATCTGAATCCACCAGCCGAGATGATGAGCGAAGCGTATGGGTCTTTCGTAGCTCCTCTAGACAACGGCATACGAGGGGGCTTTGAGTAGGTGTCAACGCGGCGAGTCGATTGTTCATGTATCTGACAGTACCCAGCGCCCACATTTACTTTCTCCAATCCGATAACGAAGAGGTCAAATTCGCCAACGAGCTGTGGGAACGCATACGTCGCGAATGTGAGAACGAGATTCATACTTCCAACTTGCACATACGCTGACTGAACACAAGTCCCTGAGCTGCGCATCTATCGAGTATGGGATCGACCTATTGGCCCTCATCCTGTTGCCATGTTTGAGGTTAACATATTCACGCCCGGTATGTACGGCGACTGTTCATTCTGAAACCTTCCCTGATAACGGATAGAACAATTTGGTGCTTTCATTCCCTGGCTTGTCATCAACAGGGGGCCTTTGTCTGTTCTGGTCCATCCTAATACTGATGACGAGTTGAGAGACCACACCCAAAGAGCGATGTGGCTGGGACAACCACTGCCTCTGAGCACAAAGTCATTCAGAGAGAAAGATGAGAAATTATAGGAGCAAACGTGGAGACAGTAGAGTATAGGTATTATTCAGTGCTGTCTTCTGGTGTGCTGCACTCCATTGGCGTCTCTGGCGCTTGGGAAGCCACGTTTTGCTGATGCTGTATCTCTTCAGATACGCCATCCTTACGACTCGTTTCGGCAGCCTCTCCCAGTGGCATGCTCGTGGTACTGTCCGCGCAAGCCCTCAAGATCAATCAACCGATGCTTTTGTAACATCGAAGTGCCCCTTGCGTGTCTGATGGTATCATAGTGCCTGGCTGCTCTCACACTTTGGTCTCGCCCTTCTTCTTTTTCTTCGTCTTCTTCGCCTTCTTCTTATCTCGCTTCTTCAGTCCGCTCATGCCAGCCTTGCAAGCCTCAGCATATCGCGCATAGAAGCCGTCCAAGTCATCTGGCTTGACGACGGTGCTCAACTCGATTTTAGGGATATCTTCCCTGTCGGTTCCCGCCTTCTTGCTGCTCTTGTTGTTGTGCGCGCGGATCAAGACAGGCAATGGCTCTTCAGGATGTGTGTCCCATAACGGGTCATCGGCGACTTTGCTGGCTGGTGGTGATGCAGCAGATGTGTCGAAGGTCATGCGCTTCTGAACTAGGTAGACGCTGCCGTGGCCTTTGGTGCGCGTGTACTCGAAGAGATTGGCGAGCCGAGTGAAGAACTGGGCAGGTCAGTATTTGACAAGCACTTGATAAAATCACATATCGTACCTCGTCGTTGCTTAAGTGTTCTCGCCCCATAATGAAAGTCGTGTGCTATATTATGCGCGCCATGTAGTAGGTCGCATGGTGGGATGCCCGCGGCCGTGGCGTGGAGCGGAGACGCGGGGAAATCTCTCACCCAAACTCCGACTTCTCGAACTTTTTTGCGACCCTAACGTCTCGACCATCTCAATATGCGCCCAACTTTCGGAGGGCCCAAACTGCCCGTTGAGCTGCGAAACCAGCTTGGAGGTGTGTTCGACATGGCCTGGTGATGTTTTATTACTGACACCAGCAGATCCAGCCAACAACAAGCGACGAAACGGTCCGCGCAATGGGCCACCGAATCGCAAAGACAGGCGGAAGGCTGATCGTGTAGAGAAGAAACGCCAGAACAAGCAGGTCAGACGGCCAGCGCCATCGCATCCACACAATGGCCGGGGACCACGCCGTGAAGCCGACGACGACGACGACGATGAGGAGGAAGAGGAAATAGATTGGGACAACATCGAATCCGACGCTACACCACCTCCGATAGCTGCGAAAGAATCGCCCAAGCCGCTGAAAAGCATTCTCAAAGCGAAACCACCACAGCCTGAAGATGCCTCACCGCCACCTGCCAAATTATCACGCGCCGCTCGGGAGAAGCTTGCGCAAGATGATGCCGACATTGCCAAGTTAGAGAAGAAGCTAGGTGTAAAGAGTAAAAAGAGATCCAAGGGAGCGGATGATGGCCTGGACGACATATTTGGCGACCTTGGGGATTTTAGCGACGAAGAAGAGGTACAACCTACAAAGAGGAAGAGGGATGAGGACAATGATTGGCTCGCAAGCAAGAGGCGGAAAGCTCTGGGTCAGGAGTCGAGTGAGGAAGAGGACAGCGGGTCGGAAGGTTCTGAATCAGATGATGAGGACTTGGACCTTGAAGAGGCGGGCTTCGATGAGGATGATGAGACGGAGGATGGCTCTGATGACGGCTTTGGCTCTGAAGAGGACGACGACATGGAGGACGCGGAACCAGAACAACCGCGCATACGAGAGAATCCATACGTCGCCCCTGCAGCGCCAAATGCTCAACCAACCAAGTACATACCGCCTGCGCTGAGGGCACCCCCCTCGTCAGACACGGAGGCTTTGCTACGTCTCAAAAGACAAATTCAAGGTCTCTTCAACAGACTCTCAGAAGCCAACATATTGTCAATTCTACGCGACATCGAGAATATATACCAAAACAACCCTCGAGGCTACGTCAACAATACACTGGTCGACCTACTTGCTAGCATGTTGTCGGATCCCACAGCTCTTCTGGATACCTTTGTAAACTTGCACGCTGGTTTCATCGCTGCGGTGTACAAGGTCATAGGGCCCGACTTTGGTGCACAAATAGTGGAGCGCATCGTCACAGAATTCGACCAACACTACCAGGCGAACAAAGATGGCAATGGAAAACAGACTTCGAATTTGATATCCCTGGTGGCGGAGTTGTACACTTTTCAAGTTATCGGCAGTAACATCGTTTTCGACTACATCCGATTTTTCCTTGATGAGCTCACGGAAATCAACACTGAACTCTTGTTGAGGATAGTCAGAGCAGCCGGCCCACAACTACGACAGGATGATCCAAGTTCACTCAAAGACATTGTTGTTTTGCTGCAAAAGTCTGTGGCAAAAGTTGGACAGAGTAACCTGCCCGTTCGAACAAAGTTCATGATCGAGACGATTAATGATCTCAAAAACAACAAGATGAAGACGGGTATAGCTTCGTCTGCGATTTCTCGAGAGCATACGATCCGCATGAAGAAGCAGTTAGGTACTCTGAACTCAAGGAACCTAAAGGCAACCGAGCCGTTACGCGTTGGGCTGAAGGATATCAAAGACACGGAGAAGAGAGGGAAATGGTGGCTGGTAGGAGCGAGTTGGCGAAATGAGCCAGGCAACGAGGAAAAGCCCGAGGAGCCAAAAGAAGCCGGCAAGACTACAGCCAAGATCGACATTGAGGACGAAGACAGCGAAGTCGACCTCGTGCAGCTTGCTCGTGAACATCGCATGAACACAGACATCCGGCGCGCCATTTTCATCTCCATCATGTCTGCCAGCGACTTCAAAGATGCCCAGATACGATTGAACAAGCTCAACCTCAAAAGATCCCAAGAGGCAGAGATTCCACGAGTCATCGTTCACTGCGCAGGCGCTGAAAAGACCTATAATCCATACTACACTGTTCTTGCCCGCAAGGTCTGTTCAGACCACAAGACACGGAAGAGTTTCCAATTTGCGCTCTGGGACATATTCAAGAGCCTAGGAGAGAAGCAAGACGGTGCAGATGACGATGACTCTGACGACGACGATGCGGGTGGCGACACATCTCTTCGAAAATTGGTCAATCAAGGCAAACTGTACGGCACACTAATTGGACGAAAAGCTCTGCCTATCACTACTCTCAAGAACCTCAACTTCCCGTATTTGCAGCCCAAAACCAGGACTTTTGTCGAGGTTTTGTTAGTCACTACAATCCTAGAGTCGCTAAAGTCATCAAAATCGAAGGACAAGCGAGATGAGCGGGCAGTGCGCGAAGTGTTTGTGGAGGTAGACCAGGCTCCCGAGATGATTGCTGGGCTGCAGTTCTTCCTGAAAAAGGCTGTTAGCAAGACGGAAATTGTCGAGCAGACGGAAAAAGAGACCGTGCGGTGGGCTTGCAAGTCGATAATGGACATGTTGACGAAAGTACTGGCCACGACCACTCTGCAGGAAGATTGAGGAACGGAAAGTAATAGAACATTCACCATCAGATATCGCAAGAATACCCTCTGTTTGCCGTGTATAGTAATGCGAAACCCATTTTGCCGCGATACTTGGACGAAGATGTTACGGAGTAGATGTGAGGCACTTTGTCAGCTTGGCGCCACTTGACCCTACGGAAGCCGCATAGACCTTCCCGGCCGAGCTCCGCAAAAAGCTCAACCACATCTCTCATCCCACGCCCCATCCATTGACGCCTGTCATCCCCGCCGTACACTTTACGGCTTCTCTTGGTAGCGATTCTTCGGTAGTCTCCACCATGTTCCGCTCACTGGCACCCCGCGCCATCCAAAGGGCGACGCGGCCCGTCTCCCAAAAGACATTTTGCGCATCCAACATCTACTTCCAGAACCGGTTACGACGAGGCTATGCGTCGGAAGCTGGTAAGTCGCATTGCCGTAAAGACCGGTACGGGGACTTTTGCTGATTGCTGGACAGAGGACAAGGACCTAGTCATCATTGGTGGTGGTGTCGCAGGCTATGTCGCAGCCATCAAGGCAGGACAGGCGGGCATGAAGGTTAGCGAGAACCGACGTAGAGATTTCGAGGTCCAGAGAGCTAACACACTGCGACAGGTCACCTGTATCGAGAAGCGTGGCTCCCTCGGTGGAACTTGCTTGAACGTCGGCTGCATTCCCTCAAAATCGCTCCTCAACAACTCGCATCTTTACCACCAGATCCTCCACGACACAAAAGGCCGCGGTATCGAGGTCAACGATGTCAAGCTCAACCTCCCCGCCATGATGAAGGCAAAGGACACTTCCGTGTCTGGTCTCACCAAGGGAATCGAGTTCCTTTTCAAGAAGAACAACGTCGAGTACATCAAGGGAACTGGTGCGTTCCAGGACGAACACACTGTTGCTGTCAACCTGGTCGAGGGTGGCGAAACCACTGTCCGCGGCAAGAACATTCTCATTGCCACTGGCTCTGAGGCTACACCCTTCCCCGGCTTGACCATCGACGAGCAGAAGGTCATCACAAGCACTGGCGCTATTGCGCTCCAGGAAGTGCCAAAGAAGATGACCGTCATCGGCGGTGGTATCATTGGACTTGAGATGGTAGGAACAGTTCTCTGACCCACAAGGCATTTCTAACGATTCACAGGCCTCCGTATGGTCGCGTCTGGGTGCCGAGGTCACTGTTGTCGAATTCTTGGGCCAAATTGGTGGCCCTGGCATGGACGCCGAGATCGCCAAGGCGACCCAGAAGATCCTCCAAAAGCAGGGCCTGAAGTTCAAGCTCAACACCAAGGTTACCGCAGGTGAGGTTCACGACGCTGGCGTCAAGGTCAGCGTTGAGGCCGCCAAGGGTGGAAAGGAGGAGACCGTAAGTTCAGCGCAAGCACCTCGATTCAGAAGCATGGCTAACAATCACAGATGGACGCTGACGTCGTTCTCGTTGCCATCGGTCGCCGCCCATACACATCTGGTCTTGGTCTGGACAACATCAGCCTTGAGACCGACGACAGGGGCCGCTTGATCATCGACCAGGAGTACCGCACCAAGATTCCCCACATCCGCGCTATCGGAGACTGCACATTCGGACCTATGCTTGCCCACAAGGCCGAAGAGGAGGCTGTCGCTGCCATTGAGTACATCCACAAGGGTCACGGTCACGTCAACTACGGCGCCATTCCTTCCGTCATGTACACTCACCCTGAAGTCGCCTGGGTCGGTCAAAACGAGCAGGAACTCAAGGAGGCTGGTATCAAGTACAAGAACGGAACCTTCCCCTTCTCCGCCAACTCAAGAGCTAAGACCAACCTCGACACCGAGGGTATGGTCAAGTTCCTCGCAGATGCTCAGACTGACCGGATATTGGGTATCCACATCATTGGACCCAACGCTGGTGAGATGATTGCTGAGGGTACCCTTGCTCTCGAATACGGTGCCAGCTCAGAGGGTAAGTCAACATGCAGTTTCTCGTTTCGTGACAAGATACTAACGATATTACAGATGTTGCTCGAACATGTCACGCTCATCCTACCCTCGCTGAGGCGTTCAAGGAGGCTGCTATGGCCACCTACGACAAGGCTGTTCACTACTAGATTCCCCCTTTTTGGTCCGGCTTTCCTTTATGCATCAGCGACATGATGTTCGAGCTCTCAAGCGCGCGAGCAGGGAGTTGTGAATAGTATTTTGTAGAATATATCTGATGCGTCATGCTCGCCAATTAAAAGCTTGGGAACGATGTGCATGTGATGTGGAGCCGATAAGGCTGAGATACCCTGCTAGTGGCGTTTTGTCGCGTGCACGTAACGCGTACCGCGATTTGGGATATTGATGTCAATTACACCCGCTTCGGACCGTCTTCACCCATACCACACCCTTCGACACAAGACGCCATGAGTAACGATGAGATCGAACAGCGCTGCACTGAGCTACGACATGAATTGAAGGCCTGGGAAAAGAAGTTTTCAGCAGAGAATAATGGCCGAAAGGCGGGACGCGATGATATCAAGGCTAATGCCGAGATTTGTACGTACAGAAGAGTTCCGGTCACTCTACAGTCATGCTGAACGTATGCAGCGCAAATGTACAAAGACTACAACAAACTACGAGTACGATTGTCAAGCAAAGCAGCGCCGCAGACCCCCTCGAAGCGAACCCCAAGCCGAAGAGCGAGCCTCGATGTCGAACGAACACCAAAAGCCGCGCCCAAGCCCACCGTCTCTACACCGTTGAAGAGGAAACGAGAGGACGGTGATGCAATAGAGAACGTAGATCTAGCAGCCGAGCTTCTGTCTCCACAAGGACCTACCGCCATAGGACCTACGCCCCAGCGCGACGGGATAGTTCTAGGTCTCTTCGACATGCTCCCATATGCATATGGCACACCAAGCAAACCGAGGACTGTACTAGGAGATGTGGGGTTAAATGTGCCGCAAACTCCGAGTAGGGGACTTCAAGATGCAGCAAGTGAGACATCACTAGAGTCAAGAGCAAGGGGAGAGCGGACGCCACTGTCGGCGGGGAAGCGGTTTCTTTTGAACCAATTCGTCACACCGAAGAAGAGAAGGTTAGACGAGGAGGGTACACCGTCATCTACGACTCGAGGTCTAGCTACACCTGCATTCCTCAGGAGAGACAATGTGCTGAATGCTATTGACGAGGAGGAGGAGCCAATATCACGACCAGCACCTTGGATGCGACGCGGACTTGGACGTAGCTTGAGTTCCATGATACAAGCGATGAGGAAAGATGAAGACGACAAACTTGATGAAGAGGCGGACATAATGCGCGAACTGGAAATGGAGGAAGAAGGCATCGCCGTCCCCAGGAAACCCAGAGCGTCACAGATACTGATAGAAGATAGCCAAGCTGCTATGCCCTTAGGGCCAGACCGAGGTCTTGAGTCTGACGAAGGCAGTGAGGAAGAACCAGAACTCGGGCCTGATGGAAAGCCACGAAGGGTCTGGAAAAAGAAGGGTTTGAAGAGGCAGACGCGGCGTGTAATAAGTAAGATATTCTGTATCCAACAAACGAGCTACATGACTAACAGTTTTCAGTGCGCCCGAACATTGTAAAGCCCAAGCCAACGCCAGCACCACAGACAAACGACGACCCAGAGGGAGAACAAGCAGGGGTGCCAGAAACTCAAGTACCAGCGGTTCTGGAAGACGAGTTTGGCTCAGACTTGGATGGAGATTCAGACTACGCGAGTGACGCTTCACACACCCCGAGACGAAAAGTGCCCGCAAAGAAGCCAGAACAAGCAGAGGAGAAGCCTGTCAAAGAGAGCGCACTCAAGACGGCGGCCCGCAAGATCAAAGCTACGGCAAACGCAAATTATCGGAGGCTCAATATCAAAGGCAAAGCAGGGACTGGTGCGAAGGGAAAGTTTGGAAGGAGGAGATAAGGGGAAAGGACATGATTTGGGGAACTCAATTCTAGGCACCAGTAGCATGTCTATTGGAACTATGGACCGGTCAAAGCATGAGCATGTTGATTTGCTCTGGCACTGTACTCAGGGTAGAAGATTTCCACAGAAGTAATCTCTGCTGTCACACAGCGTAAGGCGTGGCGTGCTGACTACCCAATCCATCATGGAAGGCAAATTCTGTATACGTTCAAGACAAGACGTCAGCTGCAGTATCGCAAACAAGAGTAGACCAATGCGAAAGCAGACCAGCCGCCAGTAGTGATATTCCCACGCTGAGACAATGTGACCGACTAGGTCATCTGCAGGTATTGGTGCCTGGTCCGCGTGGGATGTCAGGCTTATATCTGGGAAATAATTACAACAGTGCTTTCGCCCTCATGGGTTCTTTCAGCGTGTTTGAGAGCAAGTGAAATAAATGGCATATATTCGTTATAGAACGTTTGAGGGAGGATATGACGCGGCGTGGCGGTTGGGGAGCACGCTAAGCCCAGCACCTCCGACGCCGACGGTCTCCCGACGTATACCACCGAAGCTTCCACTCGCCGCAACAAACACCCCAACCACATCACGAATCCGATCCACTCAATCACCTCGACCAGTCTCTATATCATCGACTTGCACTACCAAAACCGAACCACCGCACACCATGGCTGAAAGGGAACTCTCCACCGTGCTCCAGCAGCTCCACCAGACGCTCAAGTCGCACAACTACCAGCAGTCGACTTCATTACTAGGCAAAGCCAAGATCGCCCTCCTCAACCTCAACGCCCTCATCCCACAAGAGAAGACACCACGGAAACATCTGCAGCTCGCACGTGAGACGCTCGAGCTAGGCGCCATCATCTCCATCCGCCTCAAAGACACCGAGTCCTTTACCCGTTACTTCCAGCAGCTCCAGCCCTTCTACTCCCTGCCAGAGTCCACACTACCCAAGGATGGCAGTAATTCCAGCAAGGTCACAGGTCTATATCTGTTACTGCTGTTGAGCGAGGGCGACTACGCGGGCTTCCACACACTGCTAGAGACGCTCGAGGTGGCGGCTGCGCAGGCCGGCGCGAAGCTCGAGGCTGATCAGTTCATTCAGTATCCCATAAAATTGGAGCAAGCGCTTATGGAGGGAAGCTACGACAAGGTGTGGGTCGAGACAAAGAGCGAGAGGGTGCCTGGCGAGGAGTTTGCTCTGTTTACTGAGGTACGTCACTGCCACTATCATGCCGCACATGCTGTCTTTGTATCATGACTGGGATCGTTGCTAACACACCCTCAGATTCTCATCGGCACTATCCGCAAGGAAATCGCGTCCTGCAGTGAGCGCGCATACCCCTCCATTCCCATCTCCGACGCCAAATCACTCCTCTTCCTCGACTCGGAAGGCAGCGTTGTCAACTTTGCCAAGGAATGCGGTTGGGTTGTCAAGGACGGACGGATATACTTCCCTCAGCAGGAGGACGAATACATGAGCAGAGACATCTTGGTTACAAGCGATCAGGTCATTGAGAACACTCTTGGGTATGCGAGAGAGTTGGAGACCATTGTCTAAGAGAGTGGCATAAAAGAGACAAGGCCAGCGAAGTTGTGGTTTTCGTGGAGCAAAGGAGTAGAGCGGTGTACGATAAAAGCATCAAGACACGTGGAGCGTACTGGCAGCAGACTATGCGCTCGATCATAGCAGCACGAGGAGGAGCAATCTCAATGACAGAACATAGATAATGATCATCATCACCACAAACTATGGACAACAATCCCTCTTCACTGCAGCAGACCGGCACAACTTCGTAGGCAGACGGCTACCTAAAACATAAGTCAAACTCATTGCACATACAGAACAGGGATTGAGTTCTGAGATCACACTTCTGTAGGTTAATGAAGCACCTGTGTATCGATTCTTGTTTTGCAGACAGGACGCCGCGTGTAGGAGCGCAATAACCTGTAGAAACTAACAAGTGTGGTTTGGTAGACGAAAGCATTCTCAGACGCACGCGACCTTTCTTGCAAGTTTCGAAGCGCAAGAGACGTTGCGGATGCATTCTTCGTCCGTCATTTTAGACAATATCGGATGGGATGTTGGTGATAGGAAGAGAAGAGGACATGGCAGAATAGACGACTTGATACGCAAATGATGCTCTTCTAGAGTAGAATGATGGATTTGTGCTTGTACATCTATCCGAAAGAACTTCTCAATCGTGGATGGAGTACGCAATCTCCTTGAGAGGAAACTGTCGAAATACGTTCTTATCGTATGTGTTGGGTTACTTGGCGGTGATTGCCTTTATCGACCCTCTCGTACGATGCCTTAATCTTCTTCTATGTAGACATGCGAAAGTGTGTCATTGAAGTTTAATGTACCAGTCCTTGAACTCAAACCTATCGATTCCTCGATTTAGATTAAAGAAATGAGCGCAAGACTGGTGTAAGATATCCATGGAAAGAGCAGAAAACAAAGACATCGAGACCTGTCTTTCAATTTTGAGGTCGGCCCTCAAAGACTTTCATCGTCTATCTTTAACACAAGAGGACATGAGATCCCGACCACTTCTGGCATTTCTTTCAAAAAAAAAAAGTGTCGAGACGGTCATTGGTGTTGATAACGAGGCGGAAGTCAAGAGAGACGAGTATGAGGCGTTCTGTGCCAATGCCAGCGAAGAAATTTGTGATTACAATATTTCAATTTAAAGACATGATTCGGATATCTGCAGTTTGACCAAGACATTGTGAAGGTTCGTTGGAGATTTGGACCAGAGCTGATATGAAAATAAAATCAGCGCAGCAGGTGTAATGCCATGATGTTTAGGTAAAAGGACTGTGATGGAAAGGAGGAAAAGGCTGGAGAGTAAACTACCTATACTCGGAAGGGCAGAATCGTATTGCCGAGAATCTGTAGCACAGCCGTCATGTACGATTTCTTTTTTTGTCTTGATAAACAATACACTGACGATAAGAAGACGTTGAATTGTTTCATCTGTCATTCAGGTTAAGATTCCGCGTCCCGTATTTACAGTTAAGACTTTCTTAGTCGAACACAACACCCATCCGTCCCTTCGCTTTGTGTGCATTCATCAGCTCGATCATCTTGGGCACTTCCTCAAGCTTAAAGGCGGTCATATGCGGCTTAATGTTATGTTTCGCCGAGAACTCAATCGCCTCCCTCATATTGTAACATGCTAAAGATCGGTCAGCTTCATTGCCTTGGTTGGATAGCGTGCTTGCTTACTCCCGTTACTCGACCCCTTTATTTGATACCTCCCCAAAGCAATATCCAATCCATTGAATTCAAGCGGCTGCTGTGGAATGCCTACAACCATAATCATACTCTGACCAGGCTTAACAATCGCCGGGCAATCGTCATAAGACTTCTTTGACGCTGTGAAATTGACGGCAGCATGTACACCGCCTCCGGTAAGCTCTACAATCTTCTTCTTGTAGTCTTTGTCCGTCATTGAGTTGAAGGTATAGTCTGCGCCGCAGGATTTAGCTTCCTCTATCGCAGCGTCTGTGATGTCGATGCCGATGACTTTGTGTCCCATGGCTTTGGCGTATTGGATACCCATGTGGCCGAGACCACCACATCCGATTACCGCGAGCCAGGAGCCGGCGGGTAGCTGGCAATCTGCGATACCGTGGTAGGCTGTCACACCTGCGCAGAAAAGGGGTGCTGACGTTTTGGGGTCCACTGGAGCAGTGAAGTTAGCACGCGATTAATGCTCGCTTTCTATCAAGTTTGACTGACGGTTCTCGGGTAATATGATAACCTCCCTAGCATCTACGACTGCGTATTCGGCGAAATATCCGTCCGAACTAAATCCTTGTATCTTTGTCTCCCCTGTCGCACACCATGCGTTATGCACATTCTTGCAGGCGTAGCATTCAAAGCAGCAGTCGACCGCGCAAAGGAAGCCTACGGGGTCGCCCTCCTTGAACTGCTTAGCTACCTCTCCTGAGCCGGTTGACACTACTCTGCCGGTCCCCTCATGGCCAATAGTGACAGGGTTTTTGCCGAGAATAAGGCCTTGGTCATTGGGCTCGAAGAGCATGACATCGGAGTGGCAGAGGGATGCGCAGCCCATCTTTACTAGGACCTCGTGCTCGCGCGGTGTTGGGATAGGCACCTCATTCAGGTGGAGTTTGTTGTCTCGCGCGTCGTACTGTTGCGCACGCATGGTTTTCTCTGGCATTGAGCCCATGGTGATGATGTAACTCAAGGAAGATGTGACGAGAATGCTTTGGGTAAGGTTACGTATGCAGTATGGAGGTAAGAATCAGCTGTTCGTGAAAGCCAAATGGAAAGGATGAAGAGAGGGCGGGCAGCATCGACGGAGAATAAAGCAAGATTAAAAAATTCCAACACGCTGTGCAGTGGAGACATGCTGATATGTCTACCTGGTGCAATGGTCGGGAATGGTCTACCGCTGCATGACAGTGGAGTGAGGGTGACCATTCCCGATAACCAAGGAGAAAATCACCCCGCGGCGCGTAGTCACGACTCCGGGATGGAGCATAGCAGAAGCCGAGTGGCGGAATAAAAATCGTTGATGTATTAGTAGTATTATGTCGCTCGAGCGCAAAAGATGAATCTAGACTGGGTATACAAAGGGTATATGCTGACGAGATCGTAGAGTAAAGCACATGGGCTTTTGTGACAAAAGAAACAATGAAACGGGTATCAAAGATTGCTTCCAGTGTATGCAGCGAGGTGGACTCAAGCCCCGCACCTTCCCTCGTCACCATGGCTCGGCAGGCCGGATCTAGACTCCGTGCAGCCTCCGATCCATGCGTGGACCAGGGTATGCGTCGGCAATGCTCCCTTTCTGTCCTCAATGCAGTTGTCGACGTTTTGTTTCTTTCTTTTTCGTATCAATGGGTATCTTGGGGTAATTGTTTTTTGGTAATCAAATGGGTATCCAGGTCGTCGTCGAGGCGACGTTGCGAATAGGCGCTGCGAGGAATTTGTTACAGCGACAACATGTCTCTGCAAAGCCTCGCATTGGTATCGTTCGCACACATGCGATGGGGCAGTCGATAAAAGTGCAAGTTCAACGCACCCAGGGCAGGAATCGAGCCCAAACAGCCTTCTTCTTCTGCACCGGCGGCCGCTTTCCAAGATTGGCCATGTAGAGGGCGTAGCTCCTCTCCATCTTCTCAAAGGCCTCTGCCTTTGCCTTTTCGCATTCAAGCGGGTCGTGGTCCCAGTCCGGGTTGCTTTCTTGAGTGTGGTCGCCGTGGTAGCGAGGAGAAACTGACGGCCAACCGAAATCTCTGACGAGTAGGTCTGTGGGCGGCAAGGACATTTCCATCTTTTCGTCAATGACTGAAAGGTTGGATACGCTAGAGGAGGAGGATGAGGTGGAGGAAGAGGTGGACAGCGACATGGTGGAATGGATGGTGAGGGGGATGCGCGGACTGCGACGCGTAGGTGATGAGTCGATGACGGCCTTGGGTGCGTGTTGTGTGGGCGAGACAGAAGAGAGGCCGAAAAGGGAGCGAAAGTGGAATTATAGAGAGAGTGATAGAAGAAGGTATTATGGGGGGTGCTGTGTCATGGCCTGCAGGCGATGGGTTGGGGTGCGTTGTCGAGAGATGGAAGATCAAGAAAGCCTTGAAAGTTGCGCGGCTTGGAATTGCCAGGCCAGTCAATGCGCGTCAGGGGCGGTTGGTAGCCAGCGCCACACATTCCTTCCAGGCGCACGGCAGTCTCCAACTAGCGACATTAGACCTCATTCCGGCTATGGGACAATGCAAGCCATGACGTGCTAGCTGCCGATCGTCCCCGTGCGTTTAGATTAGCGCACTCATCTAGAACATGCATGCACGTTTCATCTGAGCATTTGAATTGCTGCATCTATCGCTATGACCATGGTACCCGTCAACCACTCTACTTTCGTCGCCCGCTCAGCGTCTTGTCCAAGTTGAATGCCGCCGAAATCAGCGCCAGATGGCTAAACGCCTGCGGTGTGTTGCCCAGCTGCTCTCCCGAACGCGCAATCTCCTCTGAGAATATGTGCAGATGGTTTCCGAAACTCAGCATGTTTTCGAAAATAGTAACCGCTTGCAACAGGTATTTCTCATCGTACGCGCCAGCCTGCCATCGTTAGTAACCAAACAAAATTAAGTGGGGGAACGCATGGCGCTTACTCTTGTCAGGGCCTCGACCAGCCAGAATGTGCACATGCTAAAAGCGCCCTCTTGCCCGCCTACGCCATCGTCGCTCAGGGCGTGGTTGTACCTGTACACCAAACCGGTACTCGTCAGACCGCCCTTCTCAGGGGCCTTGAGTATACGGTCGAGAGTCTTCAGGAACCGAGGATCAGTCGGAGAGATGAAGAAGACCAGAGGCGCAATCAGTACAGCCGAGTCTAGGACGTCGCTCGACTCGTAGCTCTGTATGAAGCATTCCAAGTCCGAGTTGTAGCCCTTATCCATGACTTCTTCATACATCTCATCGCGAATCCGGTACCACTCGGCTCGATGCGGACACGGAAAGCTCCTCTTATCTGCTAGGCGCAGTGCTCGATCAAGAGCCACCCACAGCATCATCTTGCTGTATACAAAGTTCTGCTTCTTACCCCGTACTTCCCAGATCGACATGTCTGACTCCTTCCAGACGGTACAAACATAATCTGCAATCTCCCGGACAAGAAGCCATTGATCGTACGAGATTGGACGTCCGAATCTATTCACAAGATAGATTCCGTCCATCAGTTCACCGTAGATGTCCAACTGTACGTGGAAAGCTGCGCCATTGCCGATCCGTACCGGTCGGCTGGCCCTGTACCCTTCCAGATGGGGTAGTTCGAGCTCCGGTATATCTGTGCCGCCCCAGATGGTCATCATGATCGGCAAAGCTCCTTGTCGTGCTTTGGCCTCTTTAACGCGCTGGAAGATATAGCTTATATAAGCTTCTGCTTCGTTATTGAATCCCATCCTGAGAAAAGTGTAGATCGTAAAAGACGCATCGCGCACCCACGAGTAGCGATAATCCCAGTTTCGCGACCCACCAAAGTCTTCGGGCAGGGAGAACGTCGGCGCCGCAACAATCGCTCCGCTGGGCTCAAAGGTCAGCATCTTGAGGATCAGCAAGCTCCTGGTAACCACCTCTTCCCAACGACCCATATATTTGCTTTGCTCTATCCACCTAGCCCAGTACTTCTGGGTGCTGGTTTGCAATTCTTGGACTTGTTCCGTCTCGATAATGTCTGGACTATGGTCTTCTGCATCACGCAGAATGAAGGACACGGCCTGACCTTCTTCCAAGGTAAAATTAGCCGTGACGCCTACGCCTAGATCTTGTGGCTCTGGTGACTCCTCGAAGACCACCCTTGGGCATACACCGTCAGGTGCATCCCCACAATCGATCGTCGCATTGAGCTCCAGGGATAGATCTTTGGATCTGAAGATGACTCGTTGCAGACCACGTCCCTGAGCGCTCTTACCCATGTCTGCGATCTCGGTAGTGTGTTTGTCTTGTGCATAGTTGAAAGCAGGGAAGACCTCGACGCACACTTCAACTTTGCCCCGCATACATTCTACTCGCCTTACGAGCCACTTCTTTAGATCGGGGCGCTCGGGAACGCTTCCTGTATGGATGCTTGCGACGACGTTTGCATGATATTTGGCATCCCAACTTTTGTCGTTTGGTCGAGGGAAGAAGTCCACGACGTTCATGACGCCCTCTTCCTTCAGGTAGCGTGTCTGGAGAACATTGCTCACGGGCAGATACTGTTGCTTGGTTGTGCAGGAATCGTCGCCAGTTGGACCTATTGTAAAGTGGCCACCCTTTTCTTTGTCCAGGATCCTGCAGAAAACGGATGGTGAGTCGAAGTAAGGCCAGCACATATAATCTTGAGTTGGACGTATGAAGTCAGTATATGTCGATACACGGCTGGTACGCGGAGATCACATACCTATTCCACCATCTGTCGCAACCATGGCACAAGTCCTCATATTTCCGATCAACCCATAGTCTTCGATCGGCATATATCCATTCGCTGAGCGCCTCGAGGTAGAGGTAGAGGTCTGAGGACCCGATGTGACTCTTTCCATCTTTGGATTTTGCATTTCTTCTACCTTATGGCTGTGTTGTCTGTATAGCTCGGTGCCGCTATCTCTATCTAACGGTAGAGGCGTGCGGGTGAAGGATGCGTTAATGACATCCTGGAGAAGCCGCGTGCCGGGTGAACCGGAATCCATCTTACCATCGGTAGATTTGGACATGCTCAGTACACTAGGCCGGAATAGCTGGATCGTTGTAGATACCACTGCAGGCGGAAGAGTACAAGCGGGCCGATCAAGTTATAACGATCATCGTGATGCTGTATATCGGAAATGGCTGAGCCAATGAACGACGATCGTAATTGTGACGTCACAAGCTTCCGTCGTTCGACCTCGCTCCCACCTTCACTCGCATCAGATGCAGCAGCCATCATGTTGTCGCATTATCGCATTTTACACATCATGCTCAGTGTAACTATGGCCTCCAGACATACTAATAGACACGTCTTCTATTTTGGTATTCTTGGACATCAAACTAAGAGCTGCATCAAGTACTATGTCTCGCGTTCCAATAAACTCGTGGACACTCTAATCTCCAATCGGATGATAACAAACTATTACCACGAATCACAGAATCGAAGCAGAAAGCCTTCAAAATAACGTTTTTGTCTAAGTGAAGATACATACTTCTAGGCACATATACTGTCCAATATCCTTGATCTCAACAGCAGAGAACAAGTTGCCTATTTTGATGTCGATATACTCGCTATATCCTAGGACAAGACCGAACAGTTGCATATAACTTAAGCTCGTATAAGGCATCTGAGATCCCAGCTTTGAACTAACATCTGATAATAAACCGTCGAGCTATGAGTTTTTCCACTCGTCCTATCGCAGAAATGAAGCGACACCGGCATGAGCTTCTCGCCATAGTCTGGCTTGTTCTTCTTTTTTATGCTGTTGAGAATGCAGATTGTCGCAAGACACCAATGACGTCACGACATGTCCTTACATGTGAGAATGCCAGCCAACGAATAACCCAAAACGTCACATCTGGTAATTACAAACATACGTGTATTACAATAGAAGAAAGTGGTTAAATGAAGTTTCCAGCTTCTTTCTTCTACACTCCGCCCAAAACCACTTCGACACCACCGCGTCTCTACAGATCTATAGCCCAACATGCAATCAATCCTTCACAAAGTCGTCGGACCCAAAGAGGTCCACCCGGAGAACCTCGACGGACGAGTCGCTGTGGTTACTGGTGGCGCTCTTGGAATCGGGTACCACTATATCTTCTCGACTGTTGAACTACCACTAATTTTCCCTGCAGCTACGAAGTTAGTCGCGCGCTTGCCCTCGCTGGCGTAAAAGTAATTATGGTAAATCGCAAAGAAGAACAAGGCTCCGAAGCAATCTCTAGCATCAAGAAAGAGAAGGCAGATGCCGACGTTGAATGGAAGCATTGTGACATGGGCAGCCTCAAGGAAGTCAAAGAAGTCTTCTCTGGGTTGCGCAATTCACTCGAGCGTCTCGATTTCCTCGTCCTTTCTGCTGGAATCAACACGTTAGTAACACTCACGTAACGAGATGCATGTAAGACATGAACTGACTTCGTACACGAAAATCCAGGAACCAATATGGTGAAGACGCTGATGGTATTGATCGTCACTTTGGCGTGAACTACCTAGGCCACTTTTATGTTTGCAACCAGCTATGGCCAGTGCTTCGGAAGACGGGAAAGGTGGGGACCAAGCCGGCACCACGAGTCGTTTTCGAGTCAAGTGAGATGCATCGCACAGCGCCATCAGATGTGCACTTCGCAAGCATGGACGAGATCAACGATAGTTCCATGGATCCGACACGGCTGTACGGACGCACTAAGCTAGCCATGATCCTGTTTTCAAAGTTTGGTCTGCGAGACCGCGTTATCGAGCCCAACGGCGACAACGTATACGCTCTCGCCGTGCATCCAGGTGCAGTCAATACAGCTATGCAGCAGCAGTGGAAGGACGCATATCCGGGAATTACCGGCAAGCTACTGTCGAATGCAATGCTTTTTGCTGGTCGGGACGTTGAGCAGGGTTCATACAGTGCGCTTTGGGCATGCACATCGGACGAGATTGAGGAGAAGGACATGAATGGATTCTATTTCAGCGACCCCGTAAGATACATCTTTGGTTTTGATGCTTGTTCTCTACTGAACTTATCGACTGACGTATGATTACAGGGCCAACCAGGCAAAGAGACCTCTCAAGCCTGTGACGAGAATCTCGGTGCTGCACTGTGGGATCTGAGTGAGCGGATCATCAAAGATAAACTGGGTCAAGACGCGCTTGTAGACTGGGCTAAGAAGGAGTAGAGCTGTGAGGCTAGCATGACAAGCGCAGGTTCAACTACGTTCATCCCACCATGTAATGAGTAATGATTAATATAACTACTACAATGTTCAATACCCTATCAAAGCCTGCAATAGTCTGATAATGCTGTTTATGTCACATGAGCTCTGGTTTCAAAACCTAAGAGACATGAGGCCAGTTGCTCCTTTGGAAACATTGCAATTTTTCCCTGAAAGGGTCTGGCCGATCCGTCCGCCCATTGGCTAATGATACTACCACATCGCATAGATCTTGATAGAATACGGATTCCTGGATTTCCGCATCTTCAAGCAAGATAGGGTTATCATAAACGATCGACACTATGACCTTCCGCAAATCCTTCGCACTCTCAGAAAGATTTTCATAAACGAACAAGATTGCATCAATCATCTCTGGATAATTACGGTAATATTCGGCTGCCTCCTTGAATCTCCAGGTGCAGAGAGCTTGAAGATCAGGCACCAAATACTTGTCGGCTACTTCCCAGAGCTGAAGGTGTAGCAACATGTGGCGAGGTGTTGGTGTATGATAGAGCGCGAAGCCTGAGCCCTTTGGTATGCTTGCAGCGACGCGTTGCCATTTGTGGGACACATTGTCTGGCTGGATGTCGTCAAGAGTCGAAAGTGCCCGCTTTTTTGAGTTGCTTGGAGGTGCAACGCCAGAGTTCGGCGATGAGTGTGTAGAAAGAGCGATCGATACGCCACCACTACTGAGAGGGCCATATCTATCTGTACTTTCGCGACATATGTATGGATTGATACTGCACGTTCTGATCCAGACCAAAGATTCTGAGTCCGTGTCGGGTTTCCAGGCAGTGGGATGGTAATTGGCGTTTTGAAGGAACTCAACCATCATTTCGACCATTGCGGGAGCATCATCATGAAGTGTTATCACGCCTTCAGAAGCCTCTGTCCCAAACTGCGATGCGCCTCTAAAATACTCCGAGGCAGAAGAGATGATATCAAGGTCTACCATGTAGCTATTGACGCCGGACTTGATCATGAAATTAGGCGTCATGCTCCCGGGGGTGCAATCAAAAGGCGTGAGAGTTGAGGTCTCGGTCGGTCGAGTTGAGAGAAGGAAGGCAACGGAAACCACTCATTGGTAGAGAGGTTTTACTCTGTTCTTTCTGAAATACTTTCACGTGCAACAAAGCCCTGAAAAACAGGCAGAACTCTCACTTTGCCCCGTGCAAACACTGTGATAGTCTTGTTTCCTGTCTTCCGCATGTAATTTGGTTCGTTCGAACAGGCCAGTATCATATTAGGCGATAGGACGTGGTTACGGCACATCATAAACTGAAAGCCTAGGGTGACATCGTGGTAAACCAGCAAGTCCGTAACCGTGCTGTTTTATGGTTACTTGAAACACGGTCGAATCGGCTAGTGACACGAGCATATTTTTGAGAACGATGTGATCTTGTGTAGACATCGCGGAATCAATGTAGTCTTGACTTCGATCCACGGCTGTGCTTTGGATCGTGATTCTTGGAGAGCAAACAGACCTCACTTCGAGCGCCTTCTTCCGAAGCCCCAACTGGATTTTCTTGTCTTCTCCCGTGGAGGGTTTTGCTCCCGCATCTTTCTGAAAGCAATAATACATTTTATCTCCTTCAACTGGTCCATGTTTCGATCTAGTATCGCCGTCTCATCCACCCCTTTGTCGAGTAGAAGGGTAACGAAGTCGACTTGTTTGTTCGCGAGAGCGTGATCGAGTACAGAAGCGGGTTCGGTATCTTTAGCGTGGATGTCCCCACCGAAGGCGAGTAGAATGTGGGCAAGCTCGACATTGCCGCGCATGGCTGCGAGATGAAGGGGGGCGCGTTGGTGGTCCCCCAGGATGTTGACAAGTGCACTCGGCTGTGGATGCTTTTCCAGCATTGCATTGACCTCTTCAACCAGAGCAGAGCCATCCTCGCATCGCAATACCGTTTTGTGGAAATCTCTCCAATCTTCGCTTGGGTCTAAGGTGACGGGTGTTTGTGCTGAGAGTATGCTTTCATCATCGGCGTCCGATTGAGCTAGAATATCTTTTGAAGATAAGGAAGAGACGGAGGAACGCGATGAAGAAGTCGTGGCCGAGTCTCTGCGGATCTGTACTGGCTCTAAGATGGTTTCCGCGTTCGAGAGCCACCTGCCGAGCACGGTGGAATCGTCTTCAACTGTTTGATTGTGGATACTGTCTCGTGGAATGGGTGGCTGGTTGTGGTTGTCAGCGAGAGCTTTTCCATAAAACCAGTTATCATCCAACTTACTGCTGCCGTAGATTCTGAAGCGCGGCGCATATAGGAGGTAAACTCACTAAAATAGTATATTAGCAGTGTTGAAATCGAAGGTAGATTTGTACTAACAGTTGCGAACAGACTCCAGTGACTAGAACGATGTCCATCAGGCATTGTCGTATCTCATCAACCGCAACCTCGATGTCTTTGGCTACCGTATTCATCTTGCGTTCCAAGTAGACTTTGTCGACAAAACTCTCCGTACTCCGAGCTTTCAACTCCAGTATCCTGGGCTTGATCTCTCGGAATTTGTTGCGACATTGCGTGATCTTTCCACGTACAATAAGTGACTGCTGGCTAGCGCTGTCATGCTCAGCCTCTTGGTATTTTGAGTTGAGGAAGCTGACCATTCTATGCAGGTCCGTTACTTTGCGGGAAAGCCGGTCGACTAGTTCGTCTACTTCCCGCACAGCGTCAATATAGGTCTTGCATCCTCTGACGACGGCAACTCCGAGCAGTGCGATGGTAATTATGCTTGAGACCGGCTCGGCCATCGTCGCTTCAGGTTCGTAGATGTTGTTGAGGTCTACTTTGAAGCGGATCGTCAAAAAAAGCTTAGAGCAGGGCTATGGGGTTTCACAGGGATATTGCTAGATGTGCGTGCAGAAGTGCAACAAACGTTACATGTGTAGTATTGGCTTTACTTGAAGAATGCATATCGTAAGGAAGCTCAAGGATGGAGGAGAGGCTGAGTAGAACGCGTGGAGTCTGGCCGTGACCAACAACGAACGGAGGGACGGGTAATGTGAGAAGCACACGTGTAAGAGAAGTTGACGTAAGTGTCAGGTATGAAATGGTCGCACGGGTCTATGCCGGGTAAGGGTTGGGTCCGAGGCGCCAAGAGCTAAGGCGACCTCAGGCGTGCCTGGGGTAAGCGGGGAAGCTCGACGGTGCACTATTGCAGATTAAGCAGGCAGCCGCTTACGTGCCGTCTGCCAGCTTACCCGCGACGGCAGGTATCGCCTGGTCCAGCGAGGATACGTAATGTCTCGGATCTCATGATCTGGGGATTCATCTCAGAGTCGCGCGAACCTGCGTTCACCTAGTTAGCTAGAGATGCAATGGGTATAACAGACGCTCTCGCAGTCGCGCATCCCTGTTAGGTAAACCACAAGGCAGTCTGCTGGAAAGAAGGCTGAAGGAAGAACAAGGTGTCACCAGTAAAACTAAAGCCACAGTGTGATGCAATAGCTGACCTTCGTGCCGAATGCGGGTTGGTAGCGTCTGTTGATTGGCCATCATCTTCTAGGCCTGCGCCGCCGAGGAAGGGGCAAGAGTGCACACCAAAAGTAAATGCAAGGCAGCCAATCCGTGGAGAGTAAAGGGATCACAAGAACTCATACCTACTGCTCAGCCTCCCTTTGGGAATTGGATGTAGGCAGAATGACGGTGAAGGACCTCGACAATACATGTCGTATGGATGATCAGGCTCCATAGTTGGAAGCACAGGTCAGCCTTGTTGGTGTCAGCCTATTGCGGAAAACGGACATATATTGTTGAATCCGGCATGTCGTCGCACACCAAATTAGGCTTGTAACAGCATACTCCGGTAGAGAGTCTATGCCCACTATGAGAGCAGTAGATTGTGCAAATACAGTTGGTAATCGAAGACTGGCGACAAATCGAGTACGCTCAACAGGCGCAAGACAGACGTATGTGCATGAATCAGCATATTCTGAGTGTGGCTGACAGTCTGTAGCATAGATAATCCGTTCTTGACATTCGATGATACAAAAGCCGATCTCAATACCGGAAGAACCGAGTTAGAAGAATATGTTTGGCAATTTGCGGCTTTAGCAGATCTCAAAGATCGGTACGAGTTGCTTCGATTCGGCGCTCGACTCGCTCGAGACAAGTTTGAGACTATCAGCAGATATGCGGGCGAGCTCACAGGGCGGGAGAAGAAGCTTGTAGAGCAAGAGAAGGACAAGAGTACAGGATTTTGGAAGCAGTCCAAATTCTTGCGCGCGACGATCATGACGGCAAGTCTGGCAGGAATGATTCAGGGCTGGACGCAAAGCGTGAACAATGGCACTGCCTATGGCATGCCAGACGAGTTTAAGTTATGTGTTCGCAGAAACCATGGATGTCCTTCATCTGACCTCTGGACTTTTGGAATGCTGAATGCCGTACCCTTGCTTTCCGCGGGCCTCTTTGGTACACTTCTCGCAGATCCATTGCAAGAGAACTTCTTGGGGAGGCGAGGTAGTGTGATGCTCTCCTGTGCTATCACAATAGCCTCAACAATCGGTGCGTCGGTTACGCATAATGTAGGCCAGCTCGCAGCCTGTCGCGCTATCAATGGAATAGCTTTGGGCGCAAAAGCATCGATAGGTAAAAGAGAAGCATTGGCTTTGTTTGCGCCAAGGATACTGATGCTACGTAGTTCCTATATATGCGGCTGAGATATCGCCGGAACATATTCGGGGCGCAATTCTGGCGAACTGGCAATTGGCGGATGCAGCAGGTACGTTCCCCTCACAGGTACTCGAGCGGCATAGGATACTGATCCGTTAGGCATCTTTCTCGGGTTTCTTGCGAATTTGTTGGTCGTGGTTTACGTCAAAAATTCCGCATCTGCATGGCGCATCCTCACAAATACGGTGCTTATCCCCACGATCCCGTTGTTGGTCATGATCTACTTGATGCCGGAATCCCCTCGGTACTTGATGAAGCATGGAAATTACCGCAAAGCACTGGAGGCGTTTGAGCAGGTTCAAACCACACAGTTGTTGGCAAGTCGCGATTTCATGTATGCGCATGCACAACTGGATTTCGAAAGCCGACTGCTGAAGGGGGAAGTCAACCAACTTGGTAACCTGGCCGAACGTGTAGACATCAGCACGTCAAGCTTCGCTGGTGAGCCATCCTTGGTAACACCAGATCGCGTGCAGCTCGAAACGGTCGTTTCGCAAGCGCCCATACCGCCAGGTCGACTAATCCAAGGTTCCAATACGGAAGCAACGACTGGAGGAACAACAATAGAGCCAGGTAATAGCCAGCATCAACACAGATCGCATACTGAGCAAAACGAAAATACCAACATCGAGCTTGCGGTTCTGAACAGAAGATGGAGCGATGTTACAAGCCTAAACCTCGATACTGAAGTCAAACGAGCGAAGAAGAAGAGTAACCCCTACTCGTATAACATTGGTGTCAACGGTTATTACAAGCGTTTGAGAGAGCTGTGGTCCAACAAACGGTGTCGACGGGCACTGTTAAGCGCTTCGGTGTCCATGATCACTCAAACACTAACTGGCGTTAATACGATAGCGTTCCTCGGCACCATAGTCTGGAACAATGCCATTACAGACAACAGCGACCAAATTGCCGCGATAATAGGTCTGGCCTTTGGAGCAGCAAACTATGTGTTTGGGCTACCAGCATATTGGTCCTCCGACCGATTAGGACGGTCGATCATGCTCTTGCTCGGCTTACCAAACATGGCCTGGTCAATTTTGGTGTTTGCTTTCCTTTTCAAGATCTCTGAGTCGGAGACCGTCCGAACCCCATTGATTAGCATCTTCGCTGTCATTTTCGTCGCCTTTTATGCTCCGACGGCGGGTACATCCCCGTTCTCGATTGCAGCAGAGGTCTTCCCTCTCGTGTCGAGAGAAGCCGGTATGGCTGTCTCCGTCGCTATTAACCTCTCGGGCGCTGGTATATTGGTCCTGGTTTTCCCGTTCTTGTTGAATAGCATTGGGCCGACCGCTGCATTCTCAATCTTTGCAGGCCTGAACTTGGTCGCCTTCGTGTTGGTGTACTTGTTTGTTCCAGAGACGAGGATGCGGACGTTGGAGGAGCTGCAGTATACGTTCGATTTGCCGACCGGATGGCATGTCGCATATCGGCTGGGGTACATACGGCGGCATGTCTGGGAGAATTGGTGGAAGTATCTTGCTCGCAAAGAGGTTGACCCGCCTATCGCGTTCTATGCATGGGCACGAGAGACGTACAGAGAGATGGAAGATGCCAGCTGAGTACTGTAGCGAGGTCTGCTGGAGAACATTATAGATGGGGCGCGGAAGCTCAAGCAAGTAACGTTTTGGTGGTAGCGCGAGATTCTCTATAGAACATTCATTCTTGCCAAAGTACGAGTGATGTTAGGCTATTGTGACATACACATGCAGCGAACAATGCGCGAATACAAAACACTATCTTCCTAGTGGATTAATCGAGAGATGAGAGCAGTTTGCTCTGCAGGAAATTCACCTGAGTGCGTGCGTAAAGAACTCCCGTGCAGGCGCGACATGAACACTGTCACGCTGTGCCATAGCTTTGCTCTGAAACGAGACAAGCTTGTACACGATCGGACCAAGATGCCTTGGTGATCGCTTAGCGGTAATTCTTAGATGCTGCTTACTTGATTTAGAAGGTTGCCGTGGATGTGCGGGGTTGTGTGTCAAGGCTACTGCATGACACCGCATTGCTAGCAGTCTTGTAGTGTTGGGTACAGATCGGGCCGAAAAGGGCTGCTAGTTGTGAAAGGTCAAGACTGCGGCTGCTTTGTACAAAGAACGAATGGTTTCACAGCTTCAAGACAATATAGGTGAGGTTTGTGTAGTAATTGTAGTTGCACCACTTAAAGGTGTAGCTAGCCTATAGTTGTGGGAATAATCTAACTGGCCATAGGCTCACAGTTGCTAACTGTTTGCAGCTACTATCGCATCTTGACGATGGCTCGGCTTGGTTCCTCTTGGAATAATCAGTCTGTGTCCATATGTCAGAGGGAAAGAGCTTACGTTTCAGGATGTCCGCAACGACGATGCCGTCTCTCGCCATAAGGGTACCACCTACCCATAAGATTAGCAACAAGCACAGTGAAGAGCTACAGAGCACTCTACCAGAGATGGTGAGCGAGTAATCATCGCCATTCTTTTCTGCAACGACTTTATGTTGGCTGTAGCGATCGTCGGGCTTCATCCATAATACCCTCTTCGGCATGAGGCTCAAGTCCTCTATATGATGTCTGGTAAGGATATGCCCGTCGGACATGAGACGGCCTCCGCGTAGTTCAAAAACGGCTGGTTCCGATCCACCCTCTACCAGTTTGCATAATTCGCCACTCCATTCATCAACCGGGCCATTGAACTTGGAGATGGGCCTGCCGTCTATTTCAATGATGAAGGTGCTTGGAAGGGAATCCATCGTACTGGATTAGAAGACACAAATTAATAGTGGAACCAGCTGGAAGAGTGCAGAGAACCAAGAGAGATTGTGAGTGAGATGGTTTCTCAGGCTTGTCACTCATTCCTTCGCCATATTTATACAGGTAAGTGTTATGAGGATCACCTGAGGCTATAGGATAAGCTATGCAGTATAATTGTTTTTGCACGCGCAGTCGACACCCATTCGCAATGGCGACATAGTTTGGATGCTGCTGAAGTTACACCGCTATTATGCATGCAAATGCAATGTAGACTGAACGTATCAGTGCAGCAGTGACAATATCGCTAGAGGGGGGAAAGAGGAGGTTGCTGGTATTAAAGCAGCAGTCGACAATCAGGACGACCGACGACGCCTGCGGCTTCCACTGGTATAGTTTCTAAGTACGCCTAGGCAAAGCATAGAAAGCAGGCCGTTGCATCGATTACACTCTCTTGGTCGCTTCCAGTTCACAAGCGAATATGCCCGGACACTCAGATCAGGTGCCGCCCCCACCCCCACTTACACGGTATGGTCCGCCCCACCGTTTCAATGCACGCAAGACACCCCAAAAACCAAAAACGCCCTAGTCCTTCTTGGGTTCGTGCTTTCATCTACATCCACCATACAGATCTAACAGCAGGCTTGCAGTATGGCGACGCTTGAAGCGACGCCGATGACTGGCTCATGAGAGTACATGTAAGTTGGCACGTTATGCTCCTATATTCTGCTGACAGTGTGCAGAACCATGCACAACCGCCAGACTGAGTTGCCTGTCCTCTGATCACTTCGTGGGTTGCGCAATCGCATCTATGAGTTGGCTGTCGGCGAAATATCATCGTTGAGTTGCGTTCAATCGAGCAGCCGGCAAAAGTATTGGTCTATCTCGCCTCCGCTAACGCTTCTGTGTTGGAGGAAGTGCAGAAGGCGTATTGTTCCTCAGTCTCGACATGTTCTGTGTGGGAAGAACCAGGATGATGCAGAGGCGGTCAAACTGAGTTGGTGCGGTGATGCGACTACATAGCCGGAATCCCACCGGACCGACGTGGTGAGAGCTGATCGCTGCAGTCTGGCCGTGAGTTCCTGGCGATCACCGCATATTGCAATACTCATGAAGAGCCCTTGAGATAGCTAGGCTGACGATGGGGTAGCTCATGATACGATCGTGGGAACCATGCTCGACGATCTGCTCCCTAATGATCCCATTCTTCCCTTTCCATTCCATTTCCCAACCTCCAGCACCCAACGCTGTCTTCTCCTTGGCCTTGATGTGTTCGAGCTCTTCAAACGTCACAGACGAGGTTGATCCAGAGGCGGCATTGACAGCGTACCAGAACAAAATATCCGAATGACTCCATGGTATATCATAGTCATCTTTAGCGTGTATCAACGTGATGTTGTAGCTCCGTCGTTTGTCGTTGACCTTGATGCTGTCTAACCGATGGATAAGTGCGGCGAGCTTCTCTTTGGAAGGGAACTTGGTAAGAATAAATCTATTAAGCAGTGCCATGAGCGGCGGAAAGACCGCGAGAGGAGAAAGGAGCGGAAGGGTGCGAGCGACTTTGTACGTCCGGGTCAGGGATTCTACATCGGCGAACGGCGCTACCAGTACAACTCCCGCCAGAACAATAGGGATAGGTTGTGAGGCTAGGTGATGTGTGAGCGATATTGCTACCGCAGTACCCATGGACTGAGCAAATACTACGATCCTCTCTGTTGGTATGCCTGCAGTGTCGGTCGCGAATTTGACCAACGTAAGGGCATCAGTAAGGAGGCCGGCTTCCGAAGGCCATCCCGTACTGGTGCCAAACCCGCGGTAGTCAATGGCAAGGACATGTACGTTGGTTGACGTCGCACTCATGGCCCTGTAACTTTGTGGCCGCCACCCAGATCCCAGTGTGCCTGCCGCACCGTGGAGATAGATGACTAGTTGTGCAGTGGGGTCTTTAAGAAGCTGAAAAGAAAGTCGTTCTTCAACATTTGCGCAGAGTCCAACTGGCTCTCCACGAAGCTGGGCTTGGTGTTGGCGGTATGTTTCCGGTGGTAGGACGTGCCACGCGTGTAGAGTCTCGCCGTCTGGGGTTTTGAGATGAAATGGCGTAACTTGATTGCGAAGAAAGCCCCATTGCTCGGGTATGTTTATGTCCTGACCCCAAGTTCGGATTACTCGATGCAAGAAGATGACGTGGTCTTGTAGTGTTGGGATCGTCAGAAGCGATACGAAGCCAAGATAGATTCCGATCAGGCCAGCGAAGATGCCGAGGAGAAATTCGAGCACGTTGGTAACTATATCCATGACTGGTCCGTTCCGTGTTTGAAAAACACAGCTGCGACGAGTTTTCGAGATAGACCAGAGCGAAAACGATGTGGGGTTTAGGTGGAACGTGCTGAACACTTCCATTCGAAGAATGCGACTGCGAGACACACCGAAGGATATCGGTGTCTTTACGAAATAGAGGGCTCAGCATGATAAGACAATGAAACGCCAAACTTTACGGCCGCTTGAAGGCGTCATATTCGAACTTTTGGTTTTGAAGCGACAGGGCTGATCTGCTAGGACGTGATCGCAATTACGATAGAAAGTGATGTCTAAAATGTAGCGTATCTGTGCTCCACGACATACACGAACCGAATACAAAGTAAACCAGTATCTGGTGTTGAGGATGCGCTGATCAGCTTCACGCGTCATGACCGTGGTTTCCAGTCTAGCTCAATGAGGGAGCTGGGACCATCGCCGAGGTTTAGGCTGACAAGGAGATCAACCTTACGGCGTAAATCGTGCGCATCATGTTCATCTTGTGCTTGAAGCCTGGTAAACTTAAAAGTCTTGTATCACTCCGATTTCTGCAGCTGTCTAACGCCTTTCATAGTGTCTTCGCAAGATATGATGAGGACTGTAGAGGGGTCAATATAGACACGAAGACGCATCATCCACGTGTCACTGGTGAAAGTTGAGGCCCGAATATGGTTTATTCGCTTTGAGACAGCAACAGCGTTCTTCGACAATAGATCGTGAGAGCATGCGGCGGAGCGCACAACTTCTCATATGCCTCTCCCTCCGCGTCTGCCCGTAAGAATTGCATCGTCGTGCGAGATGACTGAAGAAAGAGCCATCTCATGTGCTGTTATTGGTATCTTCCATACCCACTAGCGTACTGCCTATACAGCCAGAATCCTCCGTAGAATTAATCCATCACTCTTATACTCCAACAATGACCTCTACAAGCGGGCCAGAATCCATAGTGACCTCTAATGAGGAGCAGCTTCGTCAGGTTCGAGATAGACTTTTACGGCATGTGGCCCGCCCTGTTGTGTACAGCTACATTGGACCTCGTTCAACTGACGTCTTACAGTGCCAAACGTAGAGGCAGTCGATTCATGAGCGAGTAAGCCTTTTCCCTAATGTAGGCACCACGCTCGATCCAGTCTTGACTAACCGGCAACAGTGCGAGGAATATCGACAAAGAAGTAGAGCAGTTAGAGCTAAAGAAGCGATACCTTCTCACAAAACGCCTGATGCTCCATGGGCAATACAACGATTGGTTGAACGACTTGGTACTACACCGTACTGTTATTCCGTACAGTAGGGCATGGAATCGTGCTCTCACTGCTCAGATGCATTCTCGCCTACCACGTGAAGTTCGCGACATGATCTATGGTTATTTGTGGTACTTCGACCCTAAGAGAACGTCACTTCATGATGTTGGTACGCGGCGCTTGCGACAGTATCATGATTTTCAGTGTTCTCCCGGCGCCACCGATGTTATTCAAATACACGGTCTTTTGCTGGACCTGGCTCAAAATCTCTACCGGGGCAACAGCCATAACAGCACTGAACTATGCGACAAGTCCGCTCTTCCGCATCATATTTCCCCGGCTCACGTTGGTCTCGAGATGGCCAAAGAGATTGGGATATCCTTCTATCACACTGTTAACCTTGCTGGTCTCCTGCAGTGCGGAGCAGAGTCCATTCGATCTGTCATGAACAAATACTGTTTCGATCTTGGCCTGCTAACGACAGACCTGATTAGGACGTTGACTGTTCACTGTAAGATGGACCGATATCGTGCACCGCGACCATGTTGTAAGCCGGCTATCACTTGTCAGCATACCGCTTCGGAGATAGGTCATGTCCGCAAATCGGCGCTTGAGATGGACTTCGGCGCATTCTTCGACATCAAGGATAAGCAGGATTTCAAGCTACACAACATTCTCTACCAACGAAGCATTCGTATGGAGGTGCTAGCGGAGGTCATTGAGGCTCTTGCTAGCGTCGTGCAGCATCTCAAGCAACACGGTGCTTGCGTCACCGTATCATGGAACTACAGGGGACGTTGGGAGAAATACAACCGTCCGCCTCCTCGTCGAGGTCTGGTGGACCGAGATATTACTGACTTCTTCGACTTGCCTCGGTCATTGTGGGTTTACAACATGCGGAAGACATATAATGCAGTTTGTGATCACTGGGTACACACCACAAATAGGAACAATTGTCGCTAACTATTCCGCAGTCGCGTGGCTGGATACTACCTCGTCGTTATCATGAATCTCATGAAGTTGATCCTCGGCTCGGTTCGCGCAATACTGATACATTCAATCATATCGTACACAACATGTACGCTGACTTCAACGAAGAGCAAGGTACCACTGGTGAGGATGAGGATGAGGAGGAGGAGGAGGAAGACGATGTTAGAAGGGGAAAAAGATTTCGAGTAGAAGGATTTTGATTCGACATGAGATGATACTCAGACTATATATTCTAGTCTAAAGGGGTCACATGATCCTCCTCTTTAATAGATGAGAATGAGAAGGAGGAGAATGAGCGGACCGATGACGACAGCAAAGAAGACGATGACCACTGAAAGCTCATTAGTCTAGCTACGATATGGAACAGAAAGCATTAGCATGCTTGTTTATTCCACTTTAAGAGGAGGTAAATTTCAAGCTGCATACAGTACGAATGATGGTAGATAGTACAAAAGATCACAACATCAAAGAAAAACGTCATAGAAATGCACATGTGTTGCTTAGGGATCGGGGTAACGTTCACACACTCATACTAAGGGTTACCGATATTGATGGTACTGAAACTGACTGTTCACAAACACTACTCATTCAGTACGCTAATGGCCTCGCTCTCAATTGTTCGTTTCACATCATCCTGCGCGACAACGCCATCGACTACCCTCGCATAGCTCGGATATGTCTCCCTCATACCCATCTTCAGCATATTGCCCCAACGGTAGAAGACAAGGAGATACGCGTCCACGACAGTAAAACCATCGCCAATCGCCCAAGTCTTGCCTTCTAGATTCTTCTCGATATATCCGAAACACTCTCGAACATGTTCACGGCCTTTTGCTCGTATAGCATCAAACATTGCTTCGTCTCCGACAAACCGACCGGGCCTAAACACGCATCCAAATGCTTGCCCATGCAACGTCCCGCAAAGCCATATTATCCACTCTTGTGCTCTCGCTTGCGCAATCAGACCTTTCCCCAGTAATCCTTTCTCTGGAACCAGCGCAGCGATTACGGAGAGGATGGCCGGTGTCTCGGTGATGAGCTCGCCATCTACCTCGAGGATTGGAACGCGGCCTTTTGGGTTTAGATGAAGATGGGAAGCGGGGAAACCACGAGCAGCGTTGAGATTTGTGGTGGAGAAGGGAAGACCCGAGGCTTGGAGTGCGATATGAGTGGCTAGCGAACAAGACCCTGGTGTGTGGTAGAGGTGGAGAGTTCGCGACATGGTGTTAGCAATGATGGTTACTATCAGAGCTATTCAGGTTGGTGGTAGATTGGGATACTTGAGTGCGCAAAGCCAGAGTAAATAAGTGGCATTAAAAAGCAAGTCTCAAAGTCTTGTCGGATAGTTTACGAAGTCTGCAGTTATGATGAGTTGTCAGCCTCGAGGTAGTGGGGCTGTGCCACATCTACGAACGAATGCCTCAGCCGCACCTGCCGTCGTGTTCCCACCACGTCAGTTCCGCTCGAGCATCACTTTATCAGCTTCTGGCCTGAATAGTTACCAAAATAGATCTCAGTGAGCCGTCTGCCAAACCTCACAATGTTACACCATGTGTAGGCCACAGACCGGTCACTGGGGCAAGCTTTGGCGAGTAGGCAACAGGGACAGTATCCTTCGTGTAACACGCTCGCTAGGCTCTCGTTAGCTTCCCAAATGACAACCACATAGTGTGTTTGAAGGCAGGTGCAAGCAATAACAAACAAATGTCTTTGTAAGATTTCGATGACCAGACGCCTGGCGGTCATCAAACAACATCGAGGTCGAGACCCACTTCTACTAACGCCCGGAACACCTTCTAAGTCGTTACTACTGCGTCACAGCCCTCAAACCTTGTAACACCAAACCAAACATAACACCCCTCGCAACCCTAGGTTCCTGCAAACAATCAAACACCTTACCCAATGCCTCTCCACTAGCAGCCTGTCCCATAACACTCGTTAGCGCTTGAGGCATACCCCTCTCCATCAACAACTTCTTTGCTTTGATCCTCAATTTCTCCTTCTCCTCTTCGCTCATCTCCTTGGGCCATGTTTTCAGCTCCTCTTCTGTTGGCAACCCATTCTCCCGGATCTTTCTAATATGGTATGCTAGGCCAGCGTCAGAGGCGTTGTCGTCGAGAACGGTGGTCTGCAGGAGCGATGTGATGGAGGAGAGCTGTGGGTTTCCGGGTCGTAGGAGAAATGATTTTGCGGCGTTGAGGAGCGTGCGGCGGAGTGTCCAGGCGGAGGAGAGAGTGTAGAGTTCATTCACGACTGCGAAGAACAGTTCGATGAGGACTGTGGTCTCGGGCTCGGACAATGGCGTGTGCATGGTTGCTGTACGGGACTTGAGTGGTGATTTGGCCGGAGAAGAGGTCAACGATGGAGCTGAAGGTCGACGAGGTAGTGAGGGCACAGAGTCTGTTGATAGCCTCGAAGACTGCGAAGGCTTATGGGCGTGTGCTGGCTCTGATTGATTGCGCATCGTGCTATAATCGTCGGGGATTTCGCTAGGCATTGGTGGCAAGTTGATGAGTTGATCACCTCCCATCATGGGACTGAGATCTTCGATTTTCTCACGCATGCTTGGTGCGCGACTATTGCTCCGGGAGCCATACCTGGAGGATCTCCCGGAACGCTTACCGTCGCCGTCAGGATTATAAGATGGTCGACGTTCCATGGGCGCCTCACGGCCTGGTTGCTGATCGATGACAGGCGAATGGGGATCGCGTACAGAATCTATGGATGTACGTTTGGTTACCAGGGACAAGGTGCTCTCTGAACGAATATGCGTAGGAAGTTCGGAGACGGTCGACTCTGCTCTGCTTTGTCGTGTTTGGATTGGCGCCGTGTTGGACGATGTACGGCTTAGAGGACTTCCGGTTGCGTTCGCATTGGTGATGTTGCTGACCGACTCGCGGTTCTTCTTTCCTGAAAGCGGTGCTGCTACGCTACCTAGTACTCCAGTAACACCACCGAAAAGGGCCTTGCCGCCACCAGCAACTTCTTTGGGGGCCTTTGAAAGTACGCCCATCATCCCCTTACCAACTGTGTCGAAGGTCTGACCCGCCCAACCGATTCCTGGAAAGCCACCACCAGGCGTCTTTCCAGAGCCCAACTCTTTGTCCAAGAAGCGCTTCATACCTTCACTTTCAGCAAGTGGTTGGTACTTCACGGCATCATTAAGATAGCGCTCCAACTCTCCACGCAATGACGCCTTGGTGTGACCTTTCCATGGCGGCAGTGTAGCGTGTGCTTCGTTGAAGCCTGCAGTCCCGGTGATAGCTGCTATCCGACGTATGACCTCATGTAATGTTTCAAACTCGGCGTACTTGCGTGCCGTCATCCAACCGGTGTGGTGGTTTGACTTTGGTTCGATCTGGATCAGATATTCTGCCGTTGGTTTGGCCTTGATCGTGCCCTTCTCTCCAGGCATGCTATCGTCAAAGATCGACATGGTACTGTTGTGCAGTGTTAGTGGTGGCGGCGCAGGAGGCGGGTTGTCCATAAGTGCGGTAGGCGGTTGGGGTAGTACAAGCTGGTCGAAGCTTGTGAATGCTTTCTTCACTTCTTGAGCCGGCGGTTCTTCGGAGCCCCTTGGTGGAGATGCTGGTGTGGCTTCTGAGAAGGATCGACCAGAAAGCCCAGAGATGCCCAAGTCCGCATGGTCGGCATCACCATGCGCGTCGCTCCCCGAAGACGACGGGGTGACTATTCCTTGAGTGGTACTCTCAGATTGGTCGTCGTTCAGGGTTGACGTGGATGCACTTTGCCGTTGCTGCTCCTTGAGCCGCTTTGCATCTTCTTCAGCAATCATCTGACTCAAAAGCTGAGCCTCTCGCATTGCATCGTCCATGGCTTCCTGGGCTTTGCTCATGACGCGCTTGTGTTCCCTCTTCTCAGCCGTGGTCACTGTTTCCGTATCGTCGAATTCATTCTGTGCAGCCTTCTTTACATTCTGCAGTTGTTCTGAAGAACCCTCGACGCCTGCGTCAATGGCATTCAGGAGCTCCGGCTCGCCCTCTTCCAAGAGATAGACGATCCATCCATTGATCCACTCTGGCTTGGAACAGCTCACGACAATCATCTCAAGGATAAGCTTCGCTAGTATCTGGTGTAGGAATGTCCGTGCCGGCATGCAGTTGTCTGAGACACGTACAGCAAGTTAGCGTAGGCACATGGGTTCGACATACCAAATGTACTCACACGTCTTCGGTTCCAGGTAGTTTTGTAGGATGTCTTCAGCTGCCACACTGAATTGCTTCATCTGGTAGTCTGGGTCCAGGATGTTGGCCAGGGTGCTATCTCGCTTCATTTTGAGGTATATGTCAACTGCTTCGGTCGGCACATCGCCGGGGGAGGCTTGGATTGCAGCGGCGATCTCTTGCAGCAATATGATGAAGAAGGAAGATGAGCGCGTCACAAAGTCAAGGAAGTTGTCGGCTGGTCGCTTTCGGGAGAGGTGTGCAGAGATGGAAAGCATGAAAGCGGTGAAGGTCTGGCGGCACGAGTTGGGGAATGAGTCTTCGAAGGGCAGTAGGGGTGAATACCACCACCTGCGTTACATTAGAACAGCATCTAGACACTGCGCGGAGGACATACTTGACATAGTCACGAATGACTGCATCCGTCAACTCCGTCAGCGCAGCGGCGGTCTCTGGCTTGAAGTCCGAGTAGTCAAGCGTCTTGCCCGAATACAGCTGCACGTTAAAGTCAGAGCTGGCGTCTCTGGTGTGGCTCTGCTCGTGCGTCTTGTCGCTCCGCCAGTCCAGCACACGCTGCGCTATGTCGACGGCCAGTTGCCGCTTCCTCACGTCGGCGCTCTTTCCCTGTGTCTCCCTGCTGTCGCCGCCATGGTGCCCCTCCCACGTCGCGTGCAGGACGACGCCGCCTACAACGCCTATGAGGACCAGGCCAACGCGGCCGAGAATGAGATAAGTGCCTGCGCCTAGGCCAGCCAGACAGGCGCCGAGCGTCTCATTGCTCGCCGTCGCCAAGAAGTGTAGGGTGCGATCTGTGAGGGCCTTGACGTCCAAGGGCGTCGCGCTTGATTCTGTCTTTGTCGCGTCCGTCTCCGGCGTCACGGCGGAGCCATCGGCGAGCGAGTCATGGTGGTGATGGAGTGCGGAGGTGGGCGGGCTCGGGGGTGGCTGAACGGGGTCGCTCATGGTGGTTGGATGTGCGCGAACATCGGGGGTTGCTGCTGTGCTGGGGAGAGTCGTGGCCTGTACTCAAGCATGGTCCAGTGCAGCAGACTGGAATATGTGGCGTCTCTAACGGCTGACACTGGCGTCTGGCCGTTTCACAGCTGCCGCTTGTTGATCGCAGAGCGCTGAATAGTTGCGCCGAGCCCGCCCCGAGCGTTGAATGTCTATTTTCGAATCCCAACATCGCTTGGATCTTCCCTCCTGCACGCGTCACCTCTCCCCGTCGCACCCGCCGCCTGTAGCAGCCATGTCCAGCGATCCTCCCAACGATCCCGAGATCCTCGTCCATGTCGAGAAGTTTTGGGAGGGCCGCAAGCCTAGCAGCCCCATCTACCAGTTCCTGCTCGACGACATCAAGCTGACCTATGCCTCCAAAGGCGTCGTGCGCGCTCAGCTGCCGCTGACCAAGAACCATGTAAACACGCACGGAAGCATCCATGGCTCAGTCTCTGCCACGCTGATTGACTGGGTGGGCGGCATAGCTATTGCTGCTTGGGACAACAGGACCAAGACGGGCGTATCTACCGACATCCACATCTCATACCAGAGCGGGGCAAAAGATGGCGACACCATCGAGATTGAAGGCAGGGCTGGCAAGGTGGGCGGAACCCTCGCCTTCACAACAGCGACCATATGGAAGCTCGTCGATGGCAAGCCGGGCCCGATTGTAGCCACGGGCTCTCACACCAAGTTTGTAAAGGTGTGAGCCGTCTTTCGTAGAACGCCATCTTCTTTGAGGTCTCGTCCAGCTCTCCATGGACGATCGAACTCCACTCGGATCGCGAAGATTGACCGACCCTCTCGCTACCATTTCGTGCCCAGCGTCACAGCGACGACAGCATGAGGATGTGGGAGGGTCCTACATATCTTTTAGATGACCAATGCCATGAAGGTTTCGACCTATAAATCATCTCGTCCACTGTTAGTACATCGTGTTGTGTGTGCAGCTTCTTTGGGGCGGCATGCCCTTTGCAGTTCCATACTTCCAACATTCTGAGCAGAAAACTGTAAGGGGCTCCAAGGGAACGTCAAGGCTCTGGGTAAGCCACAGAACAACTCGCTCTCACAAATGTTTTCTCCAGTTCCTGCATTTCAACATCAAATAGCAGCATCGCTAACACAGAACACGCGTCGATTCATTAGCGCCACACGTCATCAGCCACACCCGGCAATTACGGCACGCATGAGCCACACTTCTACCATGCCAAGCTCTTCGACTTGCCGAGAAAGCTACAGACTATGCCTTAAACACATGCAAAATAGGCTGAAATTGCTTGAGTGCAAAGAATCAAGGATCACGCACTCTGGAATTGAGTGCCTGGCGTATGTCATACTGCAAATGGGTACTGACTGTGACGTCGATGTATGAGACTTGAACAAGCATGAGGAGAACCACAGTGAACTATAAGAGACTAAGAGCATCCATAGTGTACTCACAATCAAGAAACTATAACTAAAATTCTGCAACCTAAAGACGAATTCATTTTCAAAGATATACCCCGTTCCGAGCAGTCACATCAGATCAACTCACAACACTGCGTCCATCCTCCACCACGCATCGCCTGCTCGTCGACAAAATCGACATAACATTACTCAATACTAGAGAATATCCCGCTATCGTCTCAACACCACCTAGCACGTGCAACATGGGCTGTGGACCTTCCCGACCTCGCCGCTTTAACGGCAATGGAGTATCCTACATCGACCACCCTCAGGATCTACACAGCAGTGGTGGAATGGGACATGGAAGAAGTCACGGTGGTATGAGTAGTACTGGCATGGGAGGTAGCGCCATTAGCGGTAGACATGGCATGAGCAGTGGTATGAGCGGTGGCAGACACGGTATGAGCAGCGGCATAAGTTCTGGTATGAGCATGGGTCGGTCAAGTCGTACGGGTGGGGGTATGAGCAGTGGCACGAGCATGGGACGTTCAAGCCGTTCGGGGGGAGGTCTAGGTGGGATGATGTCGGGGTTTGGGCGGAACCGGAGATGCTAGTCAGTCCAGAGTGGCAGACGATATTGGCGAATAAGAATCCAAGGCGCTTGCCAGAGAGCCGAAGGAGGAACATGGCACAAACAGTTGAACGTTGATGAATTTCTTTTTGTATAGCGGGCAGTTTGCAGGTGTTATTCTAGGATCTTTCCATGTCTATACGATTTCAAGCGAACATAGGGAGCTAGAGTCAATCAACATGAACTCAGTAAACTGAATGGCTTTAGGAGGAAATCATATTGACTTGTTGTATGACTATTGCCTATCGTGCTGACTTGGGATCGACTGGAGACCATCAAGTTTCTTCGTCGATCGGAATATTCCTAGCAGTGGGCTGAACTCATTTGCTACACATACCCTTATCAGTCCACCGGTGTTCATCAACGCACTTACGCCATGTTCCAGGCGCTACCAAACTTGACGCGAATCTTTTGCTGCAACCCACCGTCAGTATGAAAAGCTTGAACATCAAATCCATCCTCAGTTAGGCTATGCACAATATCACCGCCAAAACCCACCATGTCCATCATCAACACCTGGAAAAACTTCAGCCGCATGAGTTGGTTGATGTTAGGCTTCAGCAGCTCGAGAACGCCCTGGCGTAATGCATCGTCACTGTCCAGAGTGTTGCGCCAGATGAGAACTAGTGAGTCCAGGAAGGAGTTGAGAACCGATGTCGCAGGGCTGGCGTCGGGACCTTTGTGGTCGCCGTTGACAGTAAAATTGGAGAAGTCAGTAGGATCTTCGCCGGCGGGGATGCCTATGCTAAGAACCATTCCAGCGATGTTGAGATACTCTTCTATCGCATGATCGCATAACTTGGCCACATTATACTTCTTGCCGACAACGTAGGCGTGGACGTGAAGATCCAAAAGCGTGATGTTGGCATGTTCAAGTCGCATGTTGGAGTTGAAGGTGTAGTTGCCTTCTTGCATGTACTGGATCATTGCCCCAATGGCATAAGGGAAGTCATCGCGAACGCGGATACAGCGTGTTTGACCTTCCTGTTAGAATAGTTAGTAACCTGAGATTATCAACTGTGAGTCAATTACTTACCACAGATGGACCGTCCAGCATCGGAGCAAAGAAGCGAGACTCGGTACACAAAAGACATTTGTCAATCTTCATGACTTGTTTGCCCTTGTCGAAGAATATCACCACGTCATCTTTCAGAATATGAGAGAAACAGCTGCATCGTCGTTAGCATATACTACGTGAGAGAGATGGCTTTTTCTCACTAACGGAGGTCGATAGACTGCAGAACAAAGACGCTTGTGCATGTTGCATTGATATCGATAGCCGATTGAAACGTCAAGTCTGGCAGATGCCTGCGAAGAGGATCCTGTAGAGACAGAGTCTGGAAGTGAAGCGCACTCGGAGTGAGTGGAGCTCTTTGGCTAACCGGACTAGGCATAGCAATAGTGTCCTGGTCTTCATAGATGACCGGACCAGGTGCACTTGAATACGCTCCCAAGACCTGCTCATCATGACGACTTGAGTTCTGATCTTCAGGAACAGTGTAGATTCGCTGAAATCCATTGCTATCAACTTGTAGCTCGGATAGTCCCCGAAGAGATGATGTGCGTGGAGGAGGCCGTAGATGACTTTTCGAATCGCTAGGGGGTTCGGTGACTCCATTTAGCATGGGAAAGAACAAATCTTCATTTTCTTTGTCAGATCCGAACGGGAACGCGGGCGTGTAGAAAAGCCGAGGCGTCGAAGCAACGGACAAAGCAGCAACACTGCATAGCGCCTTGCGATGTGGATGACTAGAGAGATCGGAAGTTCCGTTGAAGGCTTTCCCAAAGGCACGCTTACGGTGTAGCTGATTCATGTCGTACTGATGTCCAGGCTTGCCGCGGTCAAATCAAGTCGACTGTAACGTGTAGATTATAAGTAGGTGGGAGGCCGCCCTTCAAATATTTTCGATATTTGTATGCGATCGGAAAGCAAGGTGAAGGAGAGAGAGGGTGACCGGAACGTCTTATTCACGTCCTAGAGGAGAAATTTGGGAGAAAGCTCGGCAGACCAGTGGTGAACGTGAGTGTCTGTCCAGCCCAGTGTTGCCTCTTCTCAAATTAATGTTTCGGGAACAACTCCCTAGCCTCTAAGTGAGAAGTGATGATTACGAACTCAACGCAGTACTTTGTGGGGGCACTGATTAGTTGTCGAACGTGGAAGGCGTATACTGCTCGCCTTTACTGCCAACGCTATACGTGCTCACGGTGGTGTCCTATTTCCAGCGAGATGCCATTTCTTCAAATAGGTCTGCCCTGAACTCTGGTAGCTCATCCATCGACTCGTATACAAGAGCCATAGTCTTGCCCGTACCGTGGATGAAAGCTTGCACATGATCAGCGCAAAGCTTGATCGCAACCATCTTGAGGTCGTCCGCGTTAGCTCTTCGCTCAGGTGCATAGATCGAGCGAATCGCATGTAACAGTTGCTCTTCCTCACCATCAACAACCAGTACATTACCCGCAAATTCCTTGAATTTTCGAAGTGCGAGCGCCTTCAGACCAGCAACGCCATACCGCTCTGCAAGCATATACACATCCACATGAGAGCGCAAAGTGACGTCTTCAGGTACTGCAAGGTCTGAGCCTGCTAGTTGATCAGTATAGTCGAGTTGGTAACAGTATTGCATCATTGCCGCGACGGCTGCTGGATCATCGGCACTAAGGTCAATGATGCCTTTCGATGATTTCTGCTCATGTCAGCGTAGTTGAGGTGAAGGACAGGACTAAACGTACTGGCGATATAACAACAGCGCAAACTCTGGCAAACCACCGCGAGTGGTAGCACATAATCGCCCTGTCGACATGATAGACGTCCCTCTTAGATCGCACAACTAGATCGGAACACTGCCCTCCTGTAGCAGGAGGCGAAGGCGCGCTTACAATGGGTTTAGGAGGAGATGCAACAACCAGTGTAGGAGCTGAAGTTGGCAGTGCTTCGACTTGTGGTGAATGAACTTCTTGTGGCTTGCTTTTTTGCAAAAACCGTCGGGCGATTGAGCTATTGGAGAAGGTTTTGCGATGTTTCGGACGGTAAGTTTGGTTGCTTACTGAAGCAGCGGAAGAGGCTGCTGTAGACACAGAAGCGTTGGAACTGGTTGAAGAAGTTCGATGCAGGCAGCCGAAGGATGCGTCTGAAGAAGCTGTACTAAGTCTGGACGACAGCTCGGTGCGGGCTACGCTTTCGCGCTTTGAGCCGTAGATGGAAGGATCGAGCCTAAGAATTGTAAGCAGACGTCCTGTCGGGCCTCCATGGAAACACTCACACATTGCTATTAACGAATACTGGCGTTACAAACATCTTGGCAAAGATTGATAGATGCAAGGATATTGTGTAGGGTCAGTTCAATACGAGTTTCTTGAACCTCACCGAGACTTCGTGTTTACTGCGATAGAGCAAAACATCGGAGAAGGGATTACATCTCTAGTCGCACTGCTGTATATACACACTTACGATTCCGCCCTCTCGGCGTTCAGAATTTAGACAACTCATGACCACATGGACAGAAGGGTAAAGCACAGGAAGAAAATCACCTAGCTTCCGACACGGAGGGTGCAAAAAAGAGCGTTCTGATATGAAGCTCGTCAACTGAACCAATAGCCGCAGACGCGTATATTAGCCTTAGCCCCGGGCGAACCAGGATTATGAGGCTTATCGATAGTGCTTTAATACCGAAGATGCATACTCGTGGAACGAGAACAGCCGGGCGCGCTCCACTGGAAGATTGTGGGGTAGCTCCCGCATGGCATTCTTGAAAGCTGTCAGCAGACTGTAGCTGAAACGGATATTCTTTTTAACCTCGCATGACACTAGTTCTAAGAAGACAGGTGCACTCGCACTCTTCTCATGTAAAATTGTCCGTTACCCCAAAAGGAAGATCAGTCGCGTCAACGACTCACAAAGGTATTGCGACGTGGCGTGCTTGTTACAACTAACGACCGACTTGGAAGCCCTGGGGACGTTTGCATCATCATACACTTGTTGGTTGAATTCGCATTACAATCTGAGAATATTCGTGCACCAGGACGTGTTCGCTGTTTCAAATTGCAGATTAGGGAGCGTCTCGTGGCATCGTGGCGTCGTGGCGTGGAAGAATCCGCCCGGTCACTTCTTCCATGTCTAAACCCGCAATTGAGGCTCAACTGGCCCGGTGGCGATACACTAGAACACGTCGTGTCCTTTCGTCGGAAGGATGTCGAGATGCACGTTACAGTCCCATATTTTGAATGCCGATGTTCCCCAGCATTGTAATCATACAACGCGGCCCACGTGCACGGGTATTGGCATCGGTGATGTCACTGTCGCGACCAGAAGGGCCGAACAGCAACAGGACGACTCATTGGCTCTCCAGACCTCTCGACTCCACAACGCGTCACATCTCGCGCTTTGATACTGATATCTTCTCATTGGTAATGGCCTGCATCTGGATGCCGCTTACATCTACATCTGCAGATCGCGAACAGGTGGGAGAAAGCGCATCATAGCGGCGAGATGAACCAATCACTCTTGGGGCATTGTCACTGCCGTCAAACGTCGCCACCAACTTTGACGCCGCCAATCTCCCGATCTGCTATCAAGCAACGGGAGTCCTAGCCTAACCCGTACTGGGCTGGCAGGTAGGCCTAGATTGACAGATCTCTAAGCGTCATTGAGCATACTACGCCTAGCTAGTGTGATGATGATGCGTTCCAACATGGGAATTGCTGTAATGCGGCTGGGGCGTTATCGAAGACTGATATAAGAAGATTCCTGGACGCCTCTGACGGAGATTTATTCACACAAGTAATTTTTTCCATCTTTTGATACCCAAACACATCAGTATTCATCATGCCTGGAAACACGAATGGAACGAACGGCACCAATGGCCACACTCAGCATGCTCCGACTGGGTCAAAGAACGGTGACCAGTTCCGCAGCTACGCAGATGATCGCAACGCCTCATCAGAGGATGTTGTTTACACCACCGCCAACGGTGTGCCATACCCTCACCCGTATGAGACCCAAAGAGTAGGCGAGAACGGCCCTCTGCTGCTCCAGGACCACCACCTTATTGACCTTCTATCACATTTCGACCGTGAGCGTATCCCAGAACGAGTAGTTCACGCCAAGGGCGCTGGCGCCCACGGTACCTACACAACCACAGAATCACTTGAGGATCTATGCATGGCAGACATCTTCAAGCAAGGCAAATCTTGCCCCGTCACTGTTCGGTTCTCGACTGTTGGTGGTGAGTCTGGCTCGCATGACTGCGCACGCGACCCAAGAGGGTTCAGTGTGAAGTTCCGCACCGACGAGGGCAACTGGGATGTAGTTGCAAACAACACTCCTGTTTTCTTCATTCGGGATCCTGCCAAGTTCCCTCATTTCATCGTAAGTATATGTGTATTATTCGGTCTATTCGGGCTAGACGCTAACTCTTACGCAGCACACCCAGAAGCGAAACCCAGCAACCCACCTTACGCACGCTGACGATGCGACTAACTTCTGGGACTTTGCTTCGCAAAACCCAGAGTCCGCGCATCAATTCTTGATTCTCTTTGGTGACCGAGGTATTCCTGATGGTTACCGCAAAATGCACGGATATCACGGCCACACCCACAAACTCCAAAACAAGAATGGAGGTAAGTGTTTCTACACAGCCTACATCTAATTCAAACACTGACTTCAAACAGATTGGGTGTATTGCTCTTTGCACTTTAAGAGCAAGCAAGGCACTGGTTTCATCACACAAGAAGACTCCTTCAACTATGGCCCTGATTACTCCACGAAGGATCTCTACCAGGCCATTGAGAAGGGCGACTTCCCTGGTTGGGACGTTATGTTCCAGACTATGACAGCGGAACAGGCCGAAGAAGTATGGGAGAAGCAGAAGATCAACGTGTTCGACATGACCCACGTCTGGCCCCAGGACCAATTCCCCCTCCGTAAGGTTGGAGAATTCTTCCTCAATGAGAACCCCCAGAACTATTTCGCAGAGGTTGAGCAAGTCGCATTCAACCCTGCCCATCTAGTGCCCGGTATCGAGCCCAGTGCGGACCCTCTTCTACAATCTCGTCTGTTCTCCTACCCCGATACCCACCGCCACCGCATCGGCGCCAACTACCAACAACTACCAGTGAACGCTCCACGCGTTGCATACCGCTTCGGTAACTTCCAGCGAGATGGCAACATGGCCTTTTACAACCAAGGCGCGCGACCCAACTACCTGTCATCGATCCAGCCAATTTCCTTCAAGGAGAGGACTGTCGACCTTGACAAACTTCACGGAAAGTTCACAGGTGAGGCGATTACCTTCTTGTCCGAGATCCGCCCAGAGGACTTCAACGCACCACGCAAGTTGTGGGAGAAGGTCTTCGATGATGGCGCTAAGGAGCGCTTCATCAAGAACATCTCTGGTCACATGGAGACTGTAACCGACAAGGAGATTATCAAGCGCCAGATTGCCATCTTCAGGGAGGTGTCTGAAGACATTGCTTCACGCATGGAGAAGGCGACTGGTGTTCAGGGTTACCCCGGTATCTCCGGGCTCCGATTCAATGGAACCCACAACGGCATGGCTAAGTCCAAGGAGAACAAGGTCGCGAATGGTATGACTGGCATCAGCGCAAAGTACGCTGAGAAGAACAAGACCAACGGTGCTCCCAAAGCTGGTACGCACTAGGAGATCATTGAAGGTCAGTGAGCATGGTGCAAAGTTGAAACAATTGCTGTACAATTAGCGAACAAATTTTAATGTATGATTCCATTGATGAGAATAATATGATATCAATATATTGTGAACAATTGAGCCGCTTGTTTTTCTCAAATGGTACCCAAGGCTTCCCGGCCTGCGTCAAGGAATTCGCCGCTCAGCGCCTATTCGCAGTCTTTTCTGCTTTCGGCTGGACTCAAACACGATCAGAGAAAAGTAAACATCTCTTTAAAGCAGCGTACTCCTTCCTGCTACAATCAAGCATTTACGGGCTATATAGATATAAAGATGAACAGCATCGTAGACTCCTAGATTTTCTATCTATGAGTCTGCTTGTTAGGAGCTAAGGTAGAATGCAAGGCAGGGCTTGTTGTTTCGTACATGTCAAGCTCCCCCATTGTATGTGGTGCACAGGACAGAGCGAGCGGTGCATCATGAAGCTTGGCCAGATTCTAGAGACAGTCCTGCACGCTTCGTGGTGATGGATCGAGGCGACTGACGATGCATGCAGCCGGCGGGACCCCTCTCGCGAAAGGGAGCTAGCGCGACTGCCTCATCGGCAGCGGATCGCCAACTTCTGTCACCATCGAAACCTCTGCCAGCGCCCTTGTGTGCCCCTCACCGATTCCCTCCTCGAAACGCTCAACGTACCCTTACTGCAGATGTGGGTGTTTGGTCTCTCTCGCTGCTACGCGTCCAAAGTCGTCGACGGCCTTTTCCGCGCACGGATCCGCAATGCCAGGGCTTCAAGGGCCGGATGAACCCACGTCACGTGATGTCGTCCGGCTGACGTTTCACCCCATTGACGCAGGTTCGCGTCCGCCCGCTAGAGCGTGAGGAGTAAAATCGAGTCCTGGCAGCTCGGTCACTCCCACAGCATTGTCCCGGTCCAACGCTCCAGACGCCCACTTGAAGCCATATCATGTTCCTGTCGCACCTCGGCATTCTTTTCCAGTCGTCAACCCATCCCGTCGTCGCTCTCTGAAGCTCGTGGAGCTTTTGGCCCGCTGTCTCCGCACCTGCACCGTCACCGTTGCGCTCCTACAGACACCTGTGTCGCCGACGGGTTCGCCGTCATTGCGCGATAGCGACGGCCCTGCCATTGACTTATATCGCTTCCGTCACGTCGCAGTTGGCTGCCACCTCCTTGTAGTCCTCGCTCCCGCCTCTCATCTAGTTCGCTCGGGCGCCCTTCCAAGCGCATCCGACATCGCCCAGCTCCCCAGCTCCCCCTCCCGCTCGTACACTGCTCAGCTATTGCATTTGTAGACCGCGACAGCTTGCACGAACAATGTCGCCGCGACGATCATCGCGGGCTCGTACCACCCAGCCCCCACCCAGCGTCGCAACACACAGCAACTCCTCATCCTCCGTCTCATCAGCGCGCACCGATCGTGCGTCGAGAGTCAACGCAAAACAGACATCGCCGCCAAAGTCATCAACCCCACACTCGCTCTCCTCGGAAGAGCCCGAAGAAGCGCCTCATGACGTCCAGCCTGACCCGCCTCTGACCCGCCGACGAACACGCGAGCATGACAATGATGAGAACGAATCGGCCAAACTCGACGACGAGCTCGACGATGAGATAGCGGAAGAGGACGAGGTCACCCGATGCGTGTGTGGCTACCAAGAGTACCCAGGTCCGCCATCGGATGCTCCCAAGTCCATGTCCGCTCTCGTGGACCCCGACGCTCAAGCCGATGAACTTGGCGGGCTCTTCATTCAGTGCGATGTCTGTAAGGTCTGGCAACACGGAGGCTGTGTAGGCATCATGGACGAAGCTGCCAGCCCAGACGAGTACTTTTGCGAAGAGTGCAGAAAAGATCTCCACAAGGTCACAACAAGTCCCAAAGGGTATGTACTTGCATTCATTCGCGCGCTCTTTGCATCACTATACCCCATCATGAGTTTCTTCTGTATCGCGCCACCCCATCCGATTCATTGGGCATCCTCGTGGCGTCACAATCGCTTTGTTTACACAATGCTAACGGAATCGTTTCCATAGGCAAAAGTACTCTAGATACCTCCCCGTCTACGATCAACAGCACGGCAAGAATCGCAAATCGTCTGTTTCCAAGGAATCAGATGGGCATCCAGGCAAAGACAAGGACCGCAACAACAGGGCGAGCGTAGATTCCTTTGGCAAGCGCCGATCGACGATGAATAGCCGAGCTGCTTACGATGAAGATGAGGTGCTACGGAAGGTACTCGAAGAAAGCAAGCATGAGGGCGGTACAGCTTCGGAGAACGGCAATCGAAAGAAGCGGAGCCGTGACGACAGTGAAGAGTGAGTTCTGCTTGCTGCTACATGTGCCATTGGAGACATCTAGCTAACAAGTTTGTAACAGGACAAAGCCGGAGATCAAACGACAGCGGACTGGTTCTCGCTCTCCCAGCAATTCGCCAGTGATAGAATCCGAAGACGATAGCACAAGAGCCTCCGCTCCGAAACAGAAACCTCGTGGGGCTGCCGCTAAGAGTCAACGCGAAAAAGAACAACGTGAAAAGGAGCGCGAAAGTACCCGAAACGAAGCCGCGAATCGACGAAAAGGGCGTGCAGAGCGAAGAAAGGGGGACGGTAAGCTATCGCCAATGAGGAAATGAAACGTTATCTAACGATTTTCAGATATAGAAGAACACGAACCCAGTCCCGTCCCTGCCGTAGAAGAGCCCGCTATGCCTCCGTCTGCCACCGAGGCGACAGTTATCGACACTCCTATGGCAGAACCCAAGCCTGTGCCTGCTCCGCGAAGAGGTGGACGTCCACCACAAAAGGCTCGCGGTCGCCTTGGTCGAAATCAGTACTCTCGCGATACCATACCTGCGACCAACGGCACTTCGCCCAAGAACGACGTTGCACAATCTCCTCAAGCGAATGTCACAAACGGAGCGACCAATGGGCACGATAGCAGTGACGGGACAGCCGGACACAAGCCTGCCAAGACGAAGAACTGGCGTCTGCAGAAGCTGTCTTGGAACGACATACGAAGGCCGGCTGGAGCTATGCAAAGTTACATAGCGCAGCGACAGGTTGAGATGGCCACTGGAGAGAAGCATGGAAGTCTGGCACCGGCTGTTCAACCAACAACGAACGGCGAGTCTGCTCAAGAGCAGCAGAGAGACGAGGATACAGACCTGGCCAAGTTCAAGAATCTAAGCACAACTCAGATGATGGACTTTTTGAGTCGCGATCTCGTTCATTGGCAGCAAATGATCACCGAACCGACGGACAAGTCGCCCAAGTGACGTGGTTACGGCGCGTACATGTTTAATTCATCTTGTGCTGTATTGTTTCTTCGAGGTCACACTACAAACACGGCGCTCTCGGCACATCTTGCAGGAACCTAAAGGGTATAGCATCGACGGCATTGCTTTCACATCGGCGTTTTCATGGGTTGCTTTTGACACGGATACCCTCCACTTGGTTTACTCGACGCTGGGCTACCCTCCAGCGCATACTTCGACACCAATGGTGTTGAAGATTTTCATATGTATTGAATGTAGGTTTTTGGGTGTAACGAAGTATGACCACGTTTGAGCAATGCTCCCGTCGTCGCATCGTAATGTATACGAAAAATCAGATTCTCAAACAGATTATTGGCTCTTTCCTTTGCATTGCTACTGAATGTTCATGCTTGCTCGTCCTACGCTAATCTAGTCCGAACTACCCAGCTTGATCTCCAGCACACCCATAACTGGATTCGCCTTGAGCAATTCCAGTATCGCTGGGAAGTTCTCATCCGTCACTACGGTATATTCGGGCCATATCTTGCCATCTCTTGTCTTGGTATCCCAGTGAATCTTGAATTCTTGAATCGTCTCTTTGGGACCGTCAGCAGCCTTGTGCTTTGCCATGACTGCAAGGTTGTTGTTAGTCAGGTACACTGTGCAGTCTGGCGTGTAATGTATTGTTCGACGTACATTCGGCGCAGTTAGGGCTCGAGGAGATCGTAGAAGTGATTTGTGCGTTGAGCGATTTCAACGTGATCTTGGAAGACGTGTCTAGAAGAAGAAATTCATGGCGGTTGGAGGGCGGAAGCGTGAAAAGGAGAGGGAGAGACATGGTTGCGATCGTTACTGCTTGGTCCTGGTGGTCGTTAGCAAGACAATTCCATAGCATACGAGGACCCCAACCTACTGTTGATGTGTATCTAGTTGTGAATGCTGTTTGTATGTGTATCTGTAGTCAGGAAAGAGCTAGGGAGCTTAGCAGCCGTTATACGTCGAAACGACGATTGCAAGTTTCCCAGACTTGGAGGGTGTTACATGGGTTACGATGTACGTCATCGGCACCTGCGGTTGGACGCGTTGCGCGCCGTGGCTTGACAGGGGTCTGCTTGCCCCGCTTTCGACTCGACTGGATTTTCTTGTCGTGGATCCAACGCGAACTATGAACCTGCAGAACAGCATAGTGAGACTGCGGTTCAAGAAAATGCGAGCGCGCCAAGAACCATGTTCGTTATCTAGGACTATCCAAGTACCCTCTCCAACCGACATTCTACATACAGCGACCCATTGCTCAAGTACTCTGTTCCTTCATGCAAAAGTCTACCTATAGCCCCTTGATCTTCTCTTCAAGCGCACGTTTGATAGCTGATATCATATTAGCAGTGTTTCCAAGTCTTGGTGTGATCTGGAGTTGACATACCATTGCAGCTTTCATTAGCATCACCAAATAACATCTTTGTATTCTCCATGAAGAACATCGGGTTCGATACGTCGGCGTATCCACTGGCCATGCCTCTCTTCATGATAACAACCTGCTTGCTCTTCCACGCGTGCAGTACCGGCATACCTGCGATTGCACTACCAGGCTCTAGTGCGATGGGGTTCACTGTATCGTTCGCACCGATAACGAGGGTTACGTCTGTGTCTGGGAAGTCGTCGTTGATCTCATCCATCTCAAGGACGATGTCATATGGAACAGAGGCTTCAGCGAGAAGGACGTTACATTGTCCAGGCATTCGTCC